TCTTCATGCGCTACTGATAGACTGGTGCATGCCGTGAAGCCTGCAAACACGATGTAGCTTTCAGTTAAGATGAACACAGTTTCCATAATTATACTTTATTTATAGATAAAGGTATATTGCTCTGCATACCCAGCTAATTCAGTCGTTTCATAGTGACAAAAAAAAAAGAGGGCCACGCTTCTCTTTTTTTTCTTGTCAACAATAAAGGCAGTGAGGTGCGCCTTGCGTTTTTGGAATGGAAAAGCGTGTTTGCTGTGATCTGCCTTTTGTTCAACTGCAAGACATACTTAATTTGCGGGACGATAACGTATGACCACACGTGCCTACAGACATATAGCAGCAACATGGAAGATGAATATTGCCGTTTGATACAGAGGAGTTGATGCCAAACCAGCACTGATGCTGATCACCTCCTGCGTCATAAACACAACAAATAGGCTTTACCTTTTATTTTACAGCTTATAAAGCATGTATGCACATTAATGCGATATCATATTTAAACAACAAAACTGTTTACAAAAAGTGAACATATGCGCGCGTTGTCATTGTCTTTTCATAACGCAGCGCGCGCACTTGAACCGCGAGAGAGAGAGGAAACCACATGTCAAGGCATAATCTTTAAAATAACGATTTCTATTAAAAATATAACAAGGATTCTGATACAATAATAACAGCGGAGCAAAAAATAAATGCATATTTTCCGTGGAGCGAGCGATTTGATGAAGTCTGCGATTTTTATTCGTAGGAAGAAAAAAACACTTGTAAAAAAACAGCCTATGCCGGTTATTAAAAAGAATCAGTAAGTGTTTTAGTTTTGTAATATAAATGAAATATTTAAGTGGAAAATAATTTAGGGCAGGCCTATTTAATTAATTCTTTTTATTTAGTTTATTCTGTTCTTCTGTGGTATTGAAAAAACTGCAGGTGCGTGAAGATGCTCTGTTGTTATGTTCTGTTATTAATATGCTAGCATGTTAAAATAAATCAGTATTTTCGAATGCAATCTTTAATGTGTCAGACACAAAATAGACACGTCAATTTGTTTAAAAAAAAACCTAATAGAAATCTGACCAGTTAACCGCTAATAACCGATTAACTAGCGGCGGTTGTCGGTTAGCAAAATTAACCGAAATTAGCATCCCTAGCTCTAACGCTCTGGCGCTGTTCACAGGTGAGTGACGCTGATAAATGGCAGCTGCGATCACAGCTATCATGATAGACTAGGACTGGATGAGTTACAAATGACTTATTAAATAAAAGTTAATAGTTTGTTAATTATTTATAACTGTGCCTTATAGATAGCCAATAGATAATTTACAAGCTGTTAGTAAACAAGTTACAAATGGTTTGTTAACTGTATTTTAATTATTTATAACTAATACATTATTAATAGATCATGAACAAGCTGTTGGTAAATTACTTACTAAAGACTTGTTAAGTATCAGTTAATAGTTTACATACGTTATTGGGACGTTATTCTAAAGTTGCAAGTATTTTTCATTTATTAACTCTTAGTAAATGAGGAATAGTTGCAACTTTAGAATAACTTTCCAATAAAACACATAAGCTAATAGCTAACACTTAACTAGTATATTAACTCACACTTTACAGATCAGTTGTTCATCGTTTGTTAACCATCTAATAATACCAGTGAAACTTTTCTAATTAAATAATTTTGTATTTATTTTGTTTTCATGTTTAGCACAAAAAGTGCCAAAACCTCATGGGTTTGTATTCTGTTGTATACTGCTGTTCTGCCATGTAATGGCTATGTGTGTTTCTATACATTAAACACAACGTTCAACATTTCATCAGTGGAGTTTCTTTGGTAAAATACAGCACACAGAAAAGCCTATGAGTGAAACAAGGTTAAGGTACAAATATTCTATATTTTCAAATTTAAAATCAAATCTCTTAAGCTTGAACTTGTTCCATTTATTTGCTGTTTTACAAAGTTTCACTGGTATTAGTAGATGGTAAACAAACTATGAACAACTGATCTGTAAAGTGTGAGTTAATATACTAGTTAAGTGTTATTTATTAGCTTATGTATGTTATTGGGACGTTATTCTAAAGTTGCAATTATTTCTCATATACTAAGAGTTAATAAATGATAAATAGTTGCAACTTTAGAATAACATCCCAATAACATATATAAACTGATACTTAACTGATTAACTGATACTTAACAAGTCTTTAGTAAGTAATTTACCAACAGCTTGTCCGTGATCTATTACTAATTTATTAGTTATAGTTATAAATCATCAAAATACAATTAACAAGTCATTTATAACTTGTTTACTAACAGCTTGTAAATTATCTGTTGGCTATCTATAAGGCACAGTTATAAATAATTAACAAACTATTAACTTCTATTTAACAAGTCATTTGTAACTCATTAAATAACAGTTTATTAATGATCTATTAACTAGTTATAACAGATAGTTATTCTAAAGTGTTACCGAATGGGGAAATACATTAGTAAATAGTAAAAAAGTATTTATTTATTACTAAGCTCAGCTGCTTGTTTTTAAGCATGCAGGTGTTTTCAATTTCACTTATTATTTTTATTTAACTATTATTTTGCTTTAATAATAATTATAATGTGCATTATGTCAGCTTTTTGTGCAATAACAAATGCTTTTGTGTCTGTCATATGCATAAAAAGAAATATTTCATATTCTGCAGATTTAAAAAAATAATAATTTTATTAGAAATGAGGTGAGGGTCTGCTAGGTTGTCAATAGAAATATTTGATTAAAAAAACATGTACAATAATTCATAGATATTTGAATAAAAATGCTTTAAAATAGACAATTAAAATGCATTGGTAAACAAAACAAATTTGTTATATTTATTTATTTCTAAGGCGACTTGTTTTTTTTTAACTCTCCTGTGTTTATAAGGGAAATTATTTAACAATGTTGTTATGTTTGCTTTAATAATTAGCTGTGCTGTATCAGGTTTTTGCACATTAAATTTAGTTTCCAAGTATATATTTTCAGAGAGCATTTGTTATATGCTGGTAGGTGCTGCGTGATGCTGAGTAAGTCGTGTTGCTTTAGTGAATGCGGTGTTTATTTATACTTGATTGAGCTGCAGTGCTGGTGTAAGTTGCAGATGTGTGTGTTTTCAGTTTGAAATGTGCACTGGATTGAATCTCCTGTTTTCACGGTTGTGCTAATTTAGCTTTCGTTTTTTTTTTCTTAATTAAATCAAAACAAAAACACTTTCAAATGGCAACATAAAGACAAAACAACATACAATATAAGTACCAAGGTCACCAGATACGATCTTATTTACATTCATAAGAATTTGTTTGATCAGTTAACTATTACATATAAAAGATTGATAGCTTTCTGTTTTGTACAAATCTTGGTGTTAAGTGTAAATGAGCAATTCCATGCAAATGTCCACCTTTCCATGAAAATAATAGTTTTAATAAAATAGTGAAGCCTTTTCTAGGTTGTTTGTGTAGGCTTGTATGTGACGGTACTGTAAATACTCAAAAATGTCTCTGTCAATGCTTTCAAACAATTATATTTGATTTACCAAAATCACACAAGTGCCAATTTCACATCTGTCACATCCATAACGGAGAAATGTCACATCCATAATGAAGCTTTTTCCCTCAAATGCAAGGGTAAAATAAAATAAATTCTATTTGTTCAATGGTGAGTCAAATCTTATCCTCTTGATGAGCATCGTTTCTTTTGGGTTGTGCAGTTATACATTCATTCATTCATAGGCTTAGTCTCTTTATTAATCCGGGGTCGCCACAGTGGAATGAACCGCCAACTTATCCAGCACATTTTTACGCAGCCGCAACCCATCTCTGGGAAACATCCACACACACATTCACCCACACATTCATACACTACGGACAATTAAGCCTACCCAATTCACCTGTACCGCATGTCTTTGGACTGTTGGGAAAACTGGAGCACCCGGAGGAAACCCACGCAAATGCGGGGAGAACATGCAAACTCCACACAGAAACGCCAACTGAGCCAAGGATCGACCCAGCGACCTTCTTGCTGTGAGGCGACAGCACTACCTACTGCGCCACTGCCTCGCCTGTTGTGCAGTTAAATTCACAGAATTGTGTATGGGGATGCAACAATTATAAATTTTGGTTGTATGATTATAGTCTAAGAAATAATCACAGTTATCACGATTATTTGCATTAATTGATTTCAAAACCCCACTAGTTTAAAATTAAAATTATTTTAAATTTGGTTTTGTTATTTGTTCACATTTTAAAAGTTCATTTGATCGACTAAATAAAAATCATTGGACATTATTGACACATTTATTTTGTGAAATTGCTACTTTTTACTGTCATTCACTGTGTTTTTGGTCATATCAATGCATTGTTAATTGAGTGTGTGCAGCGCAGCAAAAATAGACCCAGCGCCGAAACTATCACCTGTGTACTTTCCATTGCTTCTTCCTCAAACTTCAGCCGTATGCAGTTCCCGCGGTCACAAAAGCCCACTGAAAAGCATGAATGCGTTGTGCGCTTCCCTCCGTTAAAAATAATGATCTTGAACGAGCTTGCCTTAATTAATAACCTCAGTCATAGTTAGTCCAGTGTGCACGGTTATTAATCTTGGTGTACAAACTAGTGCACAGTTGGCATAACTTTTAGTTGCTGCAGTTTTGTTCTATGCAAGAACACAGTGTTGAGAAGCCTTTATGATTTATTAACCATGATGAATTAAATCGTAGTTAATAGTGAAACCGGTTAATCGTTGCATCCCTAGTTGTGTACTTTTGGTCAAATCTATAACACAGGTTAATTTTCCTCATTTAAAATATAATAAATGTTTACAGATTGATATTTTTCTGATCTCTTTACTCTGTTGTTGGTTGTTTTGGAAGATATGAGCAGATGTTTCAATATAATGTTAACATATACTTTCTCTTTGAGTGTATGTTTTCAGTTTTTACTGCAAAGGGTGCATCTATAATGCTGAAATTGCTCATCTTGTTTTCAGGTGAACGGGCCTGATGGAGTTCTGCCCAATGGAGAAGATGCAGTGGGGAAAACCAGCCAACTTCTGGCCGAGCTGAACTTTGAGGAGGACGAGGAAGACACTTACTACACTAAAGACCTGCCGGTGCACGCCTGCAGGTACTGATGACGCACATGCCCTCATCACACGTGCTGTAATTATAAGTGAGATATAGAGTAATACACGTTTCTCTGGAATACTTGCCTCTGATTGGTTACCCACAGCATTGTTTGTATAGTGACAAAAAATTCATCCATTCATTTTACTCTGGCTTAGTCCCTTATTTATCAGGGGCCCCACAGCGAAATAAACCACCACAGAAAACAATATAACACGGATATAAAAATTGGTAACAAAAAATTACAAACAATGCAATTTGGAAACATTGCAAATGATGAAAGAAGAATTCAACAGGTCTGAAACAAGAAAAAGATTCTATGCAAGACTAAAAAGGGCATGTGCTCTGCACAGGTTGAGCCCTATGTGTGCACGTGCCTGCCCTGCATCTTATATATATATTGATATTATAGGTAGATACAGACTGGTACAGACTGATGTGACTGGAGTGGGGTGGGGGTGTTTTATTTATACATATATACGCCTTTTTTTTAGGTGAGGGAATGGAAGTTTTGAGTGAGTTCCCCCACTTTTTTCCCTAGGACTTCAATAAGTCAAAGTACAGGTCTAGATTTAATGATGATCATCTTCAAGCCATACTGAGGGTCTCAACTGCTTCCGCTCTAAAGCCAAATGTGGTTCAGATTTGTGAGAAGAAGCGCTGTCAAGTCTCTGGCAGCAAGAAGTAGGCAAAAGATGCCATGTTCAGAAGAACTGTTCATAATCTTCACTCAATGTTTTATTAATGTTCAGGACACTTCATGTTCAGAAGAAATAATTAAAACTGTTAATAATGACATTTGAGGACTTTTTTTTGTGAAATCCCTTATGCGGCCCAGCCTCACCCAGACTTTGCCTCCTGCGGCCCCCAGGTAAATTGAGTTTGAGACCCCTGGTTTAATGCAATAAAAATGTTACAAGAAATTATATTACAAAATATTCATTCAAGGACAGGGCTTAGCGAAGAGTCCATTGTACAATAAAGCAGCACAAGATATTCTAAAGAATGCTGGAAAAACTTTACATAACTTTACAAAACTTTACAAAAAATAAATATACTAGGAGTTTATAATATACTGCTAAAAAAAAACATAATATGTAACTCAATAGTGGCATTTCCTCAGCATTCTTCAGTATATCTTGTGTTGTGTTTAACAAGAAGAAATTCATAAAACTTCAGAACAACTTGTTCAATGTTCAAATTTTTAGTAAATATTGAGGAAACTATCCCATTAAGTGTGTTCTCAATCAGAGTGTATGCTAATATGCTTCAGTGTTCATTGTGTGATTTATATTTGTCTGCAGCTACTGTGGAATCCATGATCCCGCATGTGTGGTTTACTGCAACACCAGCAAGAAGTGGTTTTGCAACGGCCGCGGCAACACCTCTGGCAGGTGAGTGCATCCGTGTAATCCAGTTTGTGTTGTTGAATTGAAACCCACGCATATTTCATGACTTTTAAACATTTGTTATTTTAGTCATATTGTGAACCACCTGGTGAGGGCCAAATGTAAGGAGGTGACGCTGCATAAGGACGGGCCGCTGGGAGAGACTGTTCTGGAGTGCTACAACTGTGGCTGCCGTAACGTCTTCCTGCTCGGCTTCATCCCTGCGAAAGCAGACTCTGTGGTGGTGCTTCTGTGCAGGTAAAAATAATACACCGCTCATTCAAAAACCGAATCGTTCTGGTTCACAAATTGGTATTTCCGTGGATTCACAGATTGATATTTTTCTGATCCCATAAATCTGTGGTTAGTTGTTTTGGAAACTATGCACAGATTTTTCAATTTAATGTTAACATATACTTTCTCTGTGAATTTATATTTAAGTTCCATATCCATAATGCTTTTTAGGTATCAGTAAAGAGAGATTTAGTGTTTGTGTTTAGTAACAACAATTAAAAATGCTCTTTTTAGTAGGCTTGGACTGTAATATGGTATACCGCGGGATCTAAAAATAGCAACGGTGTCAGTTTCAATACCGTTAAACCGTCATAAAAACAATGCACTTAAATCGGAGACAAGTATTAAGTATTAAATATCCTTTATTTAATGCCTACAAATTTGTATGCGTGATTGTCATTACGGGACAGTGTGGAGGAGAGAGAGAGGGAGATGTGAGACGGCTAGTCGCGCACCAAGTGACCTGCAGTTTGGCAGCGTTTTCGGTTTCGCCAGGATGAAAAAGAAGACGTGGTAAATACGAACTAGAGGTCTGCATTCCCGCTGCTGTACCGTGGGAGCCGACCAGATTTCTTGTGGTGCGTGAATACATTTCCGAATAAAGCGGGAGCAGTCGGTAACTCTGGTGTAATTTGAAAGGGAGCAGAGTGTGTTTGTGTGTGTGTTTGTTTGTGTGTGTGAGAGATATAGAGAGAGTGTGGGTGCTATGCGTCGCTTGTGTGTGTGTGTGTGTGTGTGTGTGAGTGTGCGTGTGTGTGTGCGTGTGTGTGTGCGTGTGTGTGTGAGTGTGCGTGTGTGTGTAAGTCTGTGTGTGTAAGTCTGTGTGTGTAAGTCTGTGTGTGTAAGTCTGTGTGTGTAAGTCTGTGTGTGTAAGTCTGTGTGTGTAAGTCTGTGTGTAAGTCTGTGTGTCTGTGTGTGTCTGTGTGTGTGTAAGTCTTTGTGTAAGTCTGTCTGTGTGTGAGTGTGTGTCTGTGTCTGTGTGTGTAAGTCTGTGTGTGTGTCTGTGTCTGTGTGTGTGTGTGTTTGTGTGTCTGTCTGTCTGTCTGTCTGTCTGCGTGCGAATGTGAGGAGTGTCCCGCGCAGAAGAATACAAACAAGACAAACAGATGACTGCAAACCTAAGGTCGCATGTACGGCATTCGGTTTCTGAATATTTTAGGTGCAAGCCAACAGTTTGGTTACGCTGTTTGAGCCTTACGTCATATTTTTTTTTATTACGCATGTTAATTCCGGATACCGAAGTAAAATAGGGAGGAGGTTTGATGGTATCATAATTTGGATACTGCCCAAGCCTACTTTTTAGCTGCTCCATTTACTTTTTAAAGTTTGTAATTTGCATTTATAATGTTAACGGTGAGCCTATAAACTGTCTAGCGTGTGTGTGATCAGATGATTACAGAAAGTGTGAAATGGGGAAGTCCCTTATATTTTCTGTATTTTCATTTTTACATAATGAAACTGGGCGTGAGTGTATGAAACCAGGCTTATTTCAGTTGCCACTTATTCTAGCATGATTGCTTTACATTTCTCGTGAAGATGAACGTATATGCATGAATATAGTAAAACATATAAGGTAGGAATGATAACAAATATTATTTTAAATGATGTTAAAAAATCTCCTAAACTCTGCGTACAGGGTGCTGGGTCTGTGACGTCATTTACTTCCGCATTCTTTAAATTTTAAAGCTCCGTACTGGCCCTATAGCCCCATAAGTGGTTCCGTTTTCTCATCAGTTGGAATAGAATAACTTTTGCATAGATTATGATAGAGACGTTTTTATTTTTTCCTATAATTACTGACATGTGCAGGAACCAACAAAATTAATTACAGCAACCTAAACCACACAAACCTTAAACGGTACACTTTCAAATGTGAGTTTACAAAAAAAGCACCCCTTTTTTGGAGGTGTTTATTATAACACACACAACATAAACACATATACAGTTGTTTTACTCACTTTCAACAGTGTTTTATGAAAATTCAAAGGGTTTTCTTTAAAATGATTCCAAACTTTTGCATTTACACGTTTACATGTGGATTTGGGTAAGCAAAATCCAGTCAGACACTAGCAGTTAACTTTAAGAAAACATGTTTCTATAATTTATTTATAAAACTGTATAATAACTGTTATGTAATTTCCATTCTTTGCTTGGGAATATATTATTGCTGAAATGCTAGATTGCTCTCAAATAATTTAAATTAGATTGACAGGCTTAAATTAAACCTAAATGCTCTATTGTAATATTTTCTAGTATATTTTATACATTGACAGCGTATTTCCTTATTATACATTTTTTAAATTTCTATAGCTTTCGAGAATCCAAAAAGCCACATATTGATAATGTTATAATAGCCGTTTTGACATTAAAGGTGCAGTAGGTGATTGTCTTCAGAAGCATGTTTTGTTGTGTTGGTTGAAAGTCTCTTCGCAGTCCAATAGTAATGATTACAGTAAATGATCTGAATGTGTTTATATGTATTTTTATATTCTGGATAAAGCATAAAACTAAAAAATGTTCATCCAATTAAATAGAGTCAGACCGTCATCTCCCATAATTCCGATAGGCAGGTCAGATTGTCTGTCAGCATATGTAGATTCTGACTTCTGCGCACCTGTTCACGCAGATCCTCCATTAGCGCGTGCCCGTCTGCATCACAAACGCATGCGCGCGATCGAGCTGCGGGCCACTCGCTGATGCCGAGTCGGACCCAGAGGCGCCGAAGGACAGACGAGCTTGGCCCGATTACTGTAAAGCCAGGCGCGAGTATAATTCGCCCTTAAAACGGTCGCGCGGTCACGAGACAGACCGGGAGAAATCAAAAGCTGAATTGAAACTTTTAAAAACCTGAATCAGTATTGGAGTCACTTTAGCACGCTGGAGGAAGGACGACACCATGGCTGAAGTATTACTGTTACACAGGTATTGTTGTTTTAAAACTTAGTCAGGCTAAGCTTATGTTAGATTGTGTTGTGTTATGAATGACTTCTATGCACAGACGTGTTGTTCAGCCACTGAAATCTCCCGCTGAAAGATTGATGTGATTATTCTCAGTTTCATAAGGTTCTTTTACAGCATCTGTAATGTAGATTTATATTTAGTTTAACAACAAAACACCAGTAAATAGCACTATTCCGCCTAACCTGCTTTATTGAGCTGAAGTTTCTTTTATAATCACATTGGGTCATATTTGAACAATGACAGCCTTCCTATACTGTTTACCGCTACTCTGAATATTCGCTCTGAAATAGCATGCAAGTGTGGCAAAGTAATAAATGTAATTCCTGCACGGCGCTGGCACTAACTAACGTTATATGGCGATTGACATGAACTAGTGGGTTGTCTGTCTGCTGATTTCAGGGGGTGTGGCTTTGAATCACAGTCCCTCCCCGGCGTACAAAGATAATATGCTAAGCGGTTAGCATTTTGGCAGATCACCTACTGCACCTTTAAGTTATGCTTGAATTGCCTCATTACAGTTATGAAATAGTTTGATAACAAGCAGGAAATGTTCACGGGCCAATGACATCACCACATTGAAATGGTCTATAGCGCATGTGTTTGACTGTGAGGGAATCCGGAGCACCTGTAGGAAACCCACACCAACACAGGGAGAACATGCAAACTCCACACAGAAATGCCAACTGACCCAGCTGGGACTCGAACCAGCGACCTTCTGGCTTTGAGGTGAAAGTGCTAACCACTGAGCCACGATAGTGCACTTTTCCCCTGCATTCCTATATTTGACTTGGTGATACACAGCTTGCATTAGTTTTTAAATGTTTTGTGCTAATTTAACCTTACTACCTGAAGCAGATATACCACATTGATCATTTTCATTATCTGGTGCTGGTTTTGTCATAAGGCGTCAACCATTTCTTATCTTTAATGTAACGTCAGTCGGTCTCATGGTTGTCTGTGTGTGTGTGTGTGTGTGTGTGTGTGTGTGTGTTTAGGCAGCCGTGTGCCAGTCAGAGCAGTCTGAAGGACATTAACTGGGACAGCTCTCAATGGCAGCCCCTCATCCAGGACCGATGCTTTCTCTCCTGGCTGGTGAAGATCCCGTCTGAGCAGGAGCAGCTGAGGGCCCGGCAGATCACGGCGCAGCAGATTAACAAACTGGAGGAGCTCTGGAAGGTACTGCCATTTATGCCTGCTTATGCCTGGCTGTTATAAGGGGCTGTCAGGACACACCAAACAAACATCAGAGATCAAGCAGAGATTAGGGATGCACCGAATATTCGGCAACCGAAATAATTCGAATAAATTTTGCCGAGCAATGACGTTTTTAATGACGCGATCAAATAGTAACCCGCGTAGAGTGAGAGGCGCGCGCTTTATGCAGCAAACATGTCAGCAGTGTGGAAGCGCTTTAAAGTGTAAGAGAAAGAGGCAAAAACGGCCGTTTGCAGACACTGTTCTGCTGAATTGTCCAGAGGAACGTTCTCTGTCTTCTCGCCCCCTTTGAGCAGATAACAAAAGAGATAAGCTCATCTGTACGTCATACATTTACTTGCAGCACTAAAGCGTCTTTTAAACAAAGAGGCTGAAACACCACGGAGTGAAATCAGCTAAAAGTGCGCTCTTTAGAAGCTGTCAGCGCACGATTTAGTCAGGCGGACTCAGAACACCTGTACTTCATCGCGACTGTGCTTGATCCACGATATATAAGATCATTACTTGGATATGGGGAAAAAGCTGCGCACATGAGAAATGATCCAGGCCGAGGTGGACTTGGGAAAGCTGCTAGGTGTTGGAGACGGTCAGGTGATGCACAGCGCAGGAGATGAAAACAGCGCAGAGAGTAAACGGGCTCGTACTACAGATGAGCCGCGCACCGACAGCCGACAGCGAGAGACTGTTTAGTGCTGCATCTCATTTCATCGATGAGAAGAGGAACCGACTTTCATGCGAGACAGCAGAGAAGCTACTGTTTATAAAGAAGAACCTGCCACTTTTCCTGAAGAAGTAGGCTGAGTAGGCTTATGTCTTGGACAGTTATTCATTTGTTGTCATCCACATTTTTTGCACTATTCAATGCACGTTTGTTGTTGTAGACATACAGTTACATTCTTTGAGCAGTCAGTTATAGGCCTAACATAGGCTATTTAAGAAGGGGGGCTTCAAAGATGGCCAAATAAAAATATTTTTATATTTTACAAATTTATTTATTTTAAGTTATATTGTGCTTTGTTTGAAAATTATCTGCTGGAATGTTAAAAAAAATGTTCAGTGTTAAATAAATATTTTTGAAATTGTATTTTTGTGATTGATATATTTCTTTGAAAAGCAACACAAAATAGCAAAAAGCAAATTTTTACTATTTAATTATTGTAATGGTGAAAAAATTGGCAAACTAAATGGAAAAAAATGCAAATCACCGCATTCGGTATTCGGCCTTCGGCCAAGCAATTCATTATTATTCGGCTTCGGCCAAGAATTTCATTTCGGTGCATCCCTAGCAGAGATCATGAGTGTTTGATTCCTCATGTTGGCTACATCTGATCAATGTATAGACCAAATAATGCGCATGAACACACCATATGAATAACAGCTGACTGAATGGCAATGTACGTTCTGGGTCTGCGTGAAAAGAAGCATCTTTTCATACATGTAGGTCTCAGTATTCCGTATAGTCAAGATTTTTAGATGTTAGTATCAATGTGTTAGTCTTAAGGACATCTCCAAGGTGTTGTGCTCCAAAACTGGTTACTGACAAGATATTTTTATTTATTTATTTTTTTTAAATGCAAGGAAATATCTTCAATTTTTTTTTAAATATGGTTGTTGTCATGTAAATGTAACCTAAGGATCCACTGGTTGCCTGACTGTCTGTTGTGTCATGCTTCTAGGAAAACCCAACAGCGACGCTGGAAGATCTGGAGAAGCCTGGAGTAGATGAGGAGCCGCAGCACGTTCTGCTACGATATGAAGACGCCTATCAGTACCAGAACATTTTTGGTCCACTGGTTAAACTAGAGGCCGACTATGACAAGAAGCTCAAAGAGTCCCAAGTATGAAAACATTTCTGATCTTCTATTAGTGTTGTTACTGGTTGTGTTTTTTTCTGTTTATGTTGTGCTTAAAACAAAATAGCTGTTAAAGTGAGCCCCTTCTCTGACACTGCACACTTCTATAAGTACTTTTCCATACATAATAATACATTCATCATAGGTGTGGCCAATGTTAGACCAGATTTCTATGTCTCTGTGTTAACAGCGCTAACTAAATGCATAGTTTTTAGTATTATGACTTCATTGTCTGGGTATTTGTCATTTAAACACAGTTTTATAAAAAAAAAAAAAATATATATATATATATATATATATACAGCTTATACAGAAGCAAAAGTGATCACTTTGCGCTAAATGTATTATTGCAAATAATGGCTTGGATTTTTATTTGTAGAATGTGAACTTTACACTTGTTATGCGAAGAGGACTGTATTTTTTCTTTATTTAAAAAAAAGTAAAAGTATACATAAAAAGTATACAGTAAACATAAAGTTAGCATTTTTTTAAGAACTGGACAAAAAACTGAAATTAGACATGTATAATATATATATATATATATATATATATGTATATATATATATATGTATATATATATATATATATATGTATATATATATATATATATATATATATATATGTATATATATATATATATATATATATATATATATATGTATAGAAATTTTGCAGGACCATTTATTAATTTTAAGTATGGTTTTACCATATTTAATAAAAAATAATAGTATAATCCGATGTGTATGCCTATCACAATATCTTTTTTTTGTTGTACAATATATTGCATCAAAATATATTGCGATAAACAATATTATTAGCCCCTTTCACACAGTGATACTGGTAAATATTCTAAAAATATTTCCAGAACGACTTTACCGGTAGATTCAAAGAAGCGCTGTTCACACATGCATTACGGGATTTTCCCGGTAAAGAGCATTCATACATCTATTCCAAAATAGCTGTAAATTCTGACCTCATTAACCAGAAATGAGCTCTAAACGGCTGCGCTTGTATTTGTAAACATTTGACTACATCACAAACTCTGTAGATGGAGAAGTATTGTGAACAGCTTCGATGAATACATATAGAGGAACACTTGTGCATGTCTAAATGTTCATAATATGTGTGTGTGCTGGCGCTCACTGGCTGCTTTATGTACACACGTGTCAGAGCTTGAAGGTAAACAAACAGTGGCTTATCATAAGCATTTTATTGATATTTTTACACAGTTGGCATTAAGATGGAACATATAAACATTATCTGACTTACATCTAGCAGCTAAATGTGTCTGGAAAAATATTCACAGGCTTTTATTTTCATAAACCGTGCGGACGTGAATTCGTCTGAGTGTTCTGATTGGCTAAAGCAGACGTCTCAGGTCAGCACGTTCTAGACATGCACGCGCTCTTTCCGGCAATCTTTCTTCTGCGTTCACACAGCGCAGCATTCCGGCAAATTGCCAGTAATGTTACAACTTCTCTTTCCGGAAAATAGCCGAAACGAATTTACCAGTATTTTCAAAAAGGGCCTGTTCACACATACAGACTTTTCTGGAAAATTGGTAATTTTCCGCAAAGGTCTGTATGTGTGAAAGGGGCTATTGTCATTTTAAGACCATTTTATGCCACTTATTAATGACAGAATGACAATATAATATCATCACAATGCAAGTACACTCTTTCAAAGAATGCATAATATTTTATTGTTTAGAATATTTTATTCAATTATAGTCATTTTAACAATTTAATATTCAGGCATTGGAATCAGAACGTGAAACTGCATATCCTAAACAATTAATAATAAATGTTAACAAAAAAAGTGTAAGGTTAAAAAGTAACAGAGGCTACGATATCTGCTAACATATCTATTTTTAGTTGTCAGACACCCACATGAAAATATCCTATAAAGTGTTTACTATAAATCATTAGTGTTTTTTTTGTAACCATACTGACTAAAATGTTGCTAGAATTGGTTTATATGTATGAGCGTTATACTCTACTTGACAAAAGTCTTGTCGTCGATCCTAGTTGTAAGAGCAACAAATAGTAACTTGACTTCTGGTTGATCGTTTGGAAAAGTGGCAGAAGGTCGAATTTTTAAATTTTTTTTCTCCATGAATCATCTGTTGATCTGCATCCCAATCATCACAAATACTGCAGAAGACCTACTGGAACCTGAAGATGCTCCTAGAAATCAGTCAAGTTTGCTGAAGGAATAATCATGGTTTGGGGTTACATTCAGTATGGAGAGATCTGCAGAGTGGATGATCAACATCAACAGCCTGAGGTGTCAAGACATTTGTGCTGCCCATTACATTACAAACCACAGGAGAGGGACAATTCTCCAGCAGGATAGCGCTCCTTCTCATACTTCAGCCTCCGCATCAAAGCTCCTGAAAGCAAAGAAGGTCAAGATGCTCCAGGATTGGCCAGCCCAGTCACCAGACATGAACATTATTGAGCATGTTCGGGGTAAGATGGAGGAGGAGGCGTTGAAGATGAACACAAAGAGTCTTGATGAACTCTGGGAGTCCTGCAGGAACGCTTTCTCTGCCATTCCAGATGACTTTATTAATCAGTGATTTGAGTCATGTCAGAGATGTATGGATGCAGTCCTCCAAGCTCATGATGGAGTCAGACACAATATTCATTCTGTCTCCACTGCTCCACTGGTCAAATAAGTGTAATCTAGAGGCCTCTGCCTTTGATATAAGCCACTTCTGATGCAAAATGATCAACTAGAAGTCAAGTTATTATTTGTTGCTTCTAAAACTTGGGTAGGCGACAGGACTTTTGTCAGGTAGTGTATATTGCATCATTAAAACTGATTGAGGTCATGTCAAAGTGTTGTGCGATGAGTCGATTGTGACAGGCCTACAGATGTGTTTCCTATCTCTCTTGATGCGCGAGTTTCTTGCTTATTAGTTAAAAAGATTTTCTAAAAATGTCTGAATGATTCTTCCATGTACAAAATCTGATTTAATTACATGTTCATGCTTCTGTTTTCTCTTTGTTCATCTTCCTGTATTTTCACTCCAGACTCAAGACAATATAACAGTGAGGTGGGATTTGGGACTGAATAAAAAGCGGATAGCTTATTTCACTCTGCCCAAGACGGATTCAGGTGGTAATATTTACTTTCAACATCTTCTGTGTCTACCAGTGGTTCATATCCATCCCATCCCTAACACCGAGTCCCATGCATCCCTCATCGATGTGTGCACGGACCTGTCTGCCCGAGTGTGTGTATGTGTGCGCGTGTGTGCTTTAGGGATGTCAAACTTGTTAGTTTCTTCAATGCATTGTGCTGAAGATTCAGTATGGATTCAGTTCAGTAATAAAAGCTGAACATTAGGCTTTAGTGAAATATGACCAGTCCAAAACATACTGGTCCCATTTATCATATATGCACTATAAACATAGGCGTGTAAGTAGCCATTCATCAGCGCGCAAAAAAGCAAGCAGGGAAAATGTTGGTAGTCCACATTTATTATGCGCTTTTATAATTTACTTGCATTTGTTCAAATCACTCCAGTTGTCTTTGAGTTTTGGATGATACGTTTAATAGCTGATGTATACTTTAGCCTGGTGCCTCTGACTGTGTGCACACCTCATAAAATGGACGAGACTTTTACACTTGACGCGTTCGCCATTAGCTATGCTTCCATTCAAAAATGCGAATTAACTTTATGCGCAAAACTGGTTTCTTGCATAATAGTCGTACGAATAAAACAGTGTTTCCATCCAACCAGTCAAAGCGAACAAAATCGTCTCTTCCTGATTTTTAATTAAAAATGTTAATACTTTGAACAATTTTGCCATGGCATCTCTTTTTGGCTTTAACAAACTTATCCTTCGAGTGTTTCTTAACTTTTTTACAAAAACGTACTTTTTCACGGCTGTTGCGATTTCTAGCCAAGAATTTTTGGTCATCTGGTTCTCCGTAAGATGTCTGTTCATGCACTCCGCCAGCAGAAATCATATCTAGCGTACCCAAATGGCCCATTTCCACTGAGTGGTACAGTACGGTACAGTTTGAGTCGGAACCGGTCATCTTTATCAGGCTTGCGTTTCCACTGCCAAAAGGGTACCAATAGTCAAAGTCGTTCTCGCTCGAGGAAATGTCAAAGTATGTGTACAGGTTGTTCACATATCATATAAGAAGCACTTCTCACAAAGCAGATGCTTTATACACATAAATACTGGGGTATAAATGTTCATTACTAACTTTTCTATGAACATTATTTGATTATAACTGCAGATCAATGACTGTGCGAAATAACCTACTGTAATGTGTGCACTTGTATAAAATAAATAAATAAATGCAATATATATGAACACATACAGCCCCTTACAGTCTTCGATATGTTACCAATTACAGAAAAACTACACACAGCAGACATGTAGTCCTTATTTAGGTTAAAAAAACAACACAAAATATAGCCCACAGCCAGAGCAAACGTCTCATCAGTATTTTTAATCTTCAGCAGCACATGTAAGCACTGCTAGAAAGCAGTTCTGTTAATCCAAGTTCATAATAGTCTAAAAGGTGATGATAATAGTTAAACATTTTGAACAGTTTGTTCATCTTTTAGGTTGCTGAAAGAATCATTTGCTCCTTTGTTTTGTCGGGATTCTCCCTTGCTTTTTCACACTTTACTCTCGTGTTTGTCCGTTTCTCAAAGGATCGGATGTCAGAAGCACTTCAGTAATCATAGAAACGTTATTATCATCAGCTCAAGAAGTTCTTTATTAAATATACATGCACATGCAAGCGATTGTGAGCTCTCTGAAGTAAGTGAAACCGCTCGCGCTTTAGACAGCCTTGTAAACAACTACAGGGCACAGGGTAGATTCTGCTCTCCTTGGCTTTGTGGATGTTCTAAAGACAAAGACGAGGTTTGTTTGAGCTCGGGTCAACCATGGCTTGTTATTGTATGTATATATTATTATGGTGTAATGTCTCGGCTGTGTGTTTACAAATGGCGCTTCCTTTGTTTTCATTCTTCTGCTTGTGAACATGCTGGTGACGGATCTCTGTAAGCCAATAGCGTTCATCTATGCATCTGGCTCTGCCTTTTGGTACTCTTCCCAAAGGATACCCAAAAAGTGGTAAAGCACGGTTCGCTTTTTGGTACCTTTTGACAATGGGAACATCCCTAAAAGCGTACCGAACCGTACCGCACCCAGTGGAAATGGGCCAAAAGCGAATCACTGCAAACACTGCAATGACGTCACAGTCGCCGTGCGCACTCAAGCAAACAAGCAAATGCATCGTGTATAAATCAGCCCTAAGAAATGGGGTTTCTTTGAGCAGGTAAAATTTAAGGTACCTGAATGCTTTTATTAAAAGAAAAAATGTATTCCCACGAAGTAAAATAATATCTTTTAGAGGGAGTCTATCATGTTGCACCATGATATCGCATTTATCTAATCAGTAACATGGTAATCTTAACTAAACATTGAGGCAAGTGTAGCTTCACACCCCATAGTGTGTGTGTGAGAGAGAGTGCATGTGTGTTTGTGGTGCAGTACTGTGTATGTGATGGATATATAGCTCTATTATCATTAATAGAACATTACCCACCAAGCAATTGTGCGATTTAATAGACGTCTAGCATGGATATCTTGGCAAAAACGATGCTAAATTTTAGCTGTCTATGAAAATCTAATAGACGTTTAAGAATAGCCCAACATTAGACTAATCATCAAATAGACCAGTGATTCTCAACCATGGTTCTGGAGGTCTACCAACACTGCATGTTTTGAATGTCTCCTTTGTCACACCCATTACAGGAATTTCCATTTCAGCTAATGAGCTGATGATCTGAATCAGGTGTGTTTGATAAATGCGCAGAGCTGCTGGTCCTCCAGGAACATGGTTGAGAAACACTGACATAGACTTTACATTTGTAGTTATTTATTCCTGTTTATTTAATGCCTAGTCTAGTTTTGGGCTGTTCTTATACCGTTATTTATTTCGCTGACAGCTAAGATTTAGCCTGGACGTCTATTAGACTTATTTTAAAGACAAAACTGCTTGCTGGGAAGTCTGTAAGATGTGATTAATCTGATTGTGTTTTCTCTGTGTGGGTGATGTCTATCAGACATGCGGCTGATGCAAGGAGACGAGATCTGTCTGCGCTATAAAGGAGACATGGCTCCGCTCTGGAAAGGCATCGGACATGTCATCAAAGTCCCGGACAGTATCCTTTCAGGCTGTTATTACGCAATGACAACTATTATTTTCTCCTGATGATGTGCTTAGGCATGCATTTCTCATGCTTCAATGATTTGATGAGCAACCGCCCAGAACACCCTGCATTGCAGGCGCTCAGTAAATTCTAGCAACTGGATGGCAAAACTCTCACAACACTCTGTCATTATGATTTACAAGCACCCTCTATTACAGAAGAGGGTCAGAATGTCCTGACTGCACTTTTTAAGGGATAGTTCAGCCATTAGTTTTAACTTTTTAAAAATTTGTAATAAATATAAAAAGTTTCCTTCCATCTATATGCGGATGACATTCAGATGTATTTTCCTCTAAACAAAAAGATATTAATGGCTTACAGCCACTCCTGGCTTGCTTAGAGGAGCATTTGGGCACAAAGAAAATCCTCTGTTAGATGTCAATGTGGGATCCTTGGCCCCGCATATTACCCAGTGTGTAAGAAATCTAGGTGTTATGTTTGATGAAAACGTAAAATTTGACAAGCAGATCAGTACTGTCGTTAAATCCTGCTTTCGCAACCTCAGACAACTGGTTAAAGTCAAGCCATTTTTATCCCAGAAAAATGTTCAAACGGTGATTCATGCCTTCATAACAACACGTCTAGATTACTGTAACGCTCTTTATTTTGGTATTTCTCAGTCTTCTCTTTCTCGTCTGCGGCTGGTTCAAAATGCAGCAGCTAGACTACTCTCTGGCACCTGCAAGTATGAGTCGGTAACTCCAATTTTAGCTGCACTTCACTGGCTACCCATGAAATACAGAATTGATTTAAAAATTGTAATATTTGTCTACAAAGCCGTCAATAGTCTTGCTCCTCAGTAGCTTACTGACTTGCTTTATCCATATACCCCCTCTCGATTAGGGCTGGGCGATTTAGCAAAAAAAAAAATCTAGGTTTTTTATAAAGTTTGACCGATTCACGATTTCGATTTTTTTTTTTTTTTATTTTTTTTTTTTTATTGTGTTACTAGTCTTCTCAAAACATTACAACAACATGACTGAAGTAACATTCTCTTTAAAAGTAACTTTGTATTTTTAATGGCCATGTCATGCAAAAATCGGTCAAGGTGTAAATAAATGTAAAACAAATTCACGAGTTAAATAGCGTTGCTGAGGTTTTGAATAAGAAATATTTGTGTAAATATTGCAGTTGCAGGAATACAGAGGTATTTTTTGCAAGTTTTGCTGAGTCTAGGAAAGATTGGCTGTCAGATCCGCTTTGGTTTTGTCTTCTGATTGAATGTCAGGTTGTAAAGCTGCTGCCTTTTTCTTAAAAAGATACAGTGGAAGAAAAGGACTGAACATGGAAACTGTAAAGCCTAACTTAACCCAATGTGTGAAGTTGTGGACTTATAGCAGGAGCAAATAGCAGATGTGTGTCTAATATAAAATAATATATTTAATCTATTTTTCTTTTTTCGACCCTTTTAAATATCGATCATTTGATGCGCTTTGCTCCACTCTCTGTATTATGCTGGCTGATCTGTCTGGTTTTCAACTAGGTCTGCTAAATGACGTCATGGGGGCGGATACTTTCATTTTCACTGCTACAGTCCCTCACCTCTACTCGTGTTCAAACCAAAAGATCGGCGCGGTTTTTCTCATGGAAGGCTTTTACGTCCTTCATACATGTTGAGATCGAGTTTATCGACTTGATGAGGGAATATGTCTTGACAATCCGCACATACTTGCAACAAGTAAAATCCTACATGACTTCACGCTTTAACAGGCAGTCAAGCAGGTTGCACACCAGAAGCGCCGCGACACAGCGCACACATGACAGTTTAAACTATTACACACCAAACGCGCACATTCGCATGATATTTAACATGAAACTAATCAGATGGCGCTCTGTGGCGCGGCTGAAAAATGAACTGCTTCGTGAATCGTGGCTGGGCGGCGCCGGTGTGTGTATAGAAACCTGTTTAGAATTCTAAAATCCATGGTGCTGCGTGGCGCGTCGCCGAGAGGCGCTTTTAGTGTGCTTCCTGCTTCATACAGAGAGTGAACTAAAGCGCATTGGTGCCATTATAATGTATTAAATATATATATATATATACATTTTAAAATATGTTTTTATATTAATCGAGCGATTTCTCAATTTGATTCCAAATGAAATCGTCTTAAAACGTAAATTCGAATTAATCTAAAAAATCGAATTAATCGCCTATCCCTACTCTCAATCATTAAGATCTTACAATCTCAACTTACTTACCGTGCCCAGAACACGCCTTTAAAAAGGTGATCGAACGTTTACTAATGCTGGTCTTAAACTGGAACAGTCTACCGATTCACATTAGACTTTCCCCCTCCATCTCTGTGTTTAAGTCTGTCTATTTTCTCTCGCTTTTAATACTCCTTGATCTCTGTTTTATTGCTCTTATCTGTTAAATGTTTCTTTTATATTCTGCTTCTCTGTTTTTAGCACTCTTATGTACAGCACTTTGGTCAACCTTTGTTGTTTTTAAATGTGCTCTATAAATAAATATTGTATTGTATTGTATTGTAAAACTTAAGTTGAATTTGTGGTTCTTAAAAATTCCAGTTTTTTTATATGTTAGTATCAGGATGGTTAGTTTTTAGGATACCTATACGCTAGTGCGCACCAAAACAGTGACAAAATCTATGTTTTATATAAGATGGAGAGTACATGAAAAAAGATTTAACTTAAAGAAATAGTTCATTGAAAAATGAAAGTGTACAAGTGTCTTATATGATGCGGTTTTACTCGGTTGATTCTTTAACTAGGATTTTTCTCAGATTATGGAGATGAAATTGCCATCGAGCTGCGCAGCAGTGCTGGTGCACCTGTGGAGGTGCCACATAACTTCCAGGTGGACTTTGTGTGGAAGTCGACATCTTTTGATCGGTTAGTCTTACTATCACTTTAAGGGCCCTATCATACACCCGGGGCGATGTGGCACAAGGCGTGACGCAATTGTTGTTTGCTAGTTTCAGCTTGCCGCAAGAGTTGTTTTTATGTTTTGCAGCATGCTGGTCATATGTGCGCCCATAGGCGTTTTGGTTTAAAAAAGGAGGTGTGTTGAGGCGCATTGCTGTAGCGTTGCTATTTTGAGGAACTATAATAGATTGCTCAATAGACCAGATCAAAGCAGGTCTCTAGTCCAGCGCAAAACGCGTTAGTTGTTATTATTATTATCAGCAGTGTTATTTATCATCTGCATATTTATATTTGTTTTATTAAAAACAAGTTTAGATTTGTCCACCTTTCATGTTTTAGACCATACGGGGCACAGCATTTGTTTATTCGTTTGCTGGAAATTAGAACTGAATTTTGGAATAGTTTTGAAACAAATCTTTGCGCTTAACAAACAAAATTATGTATAGGTTAATAAATGGTCTGTGCGCACAAGTTTCCCTATCCACGAGAGTGAAAGTGAAAGTTAATAATGAGGAGACTCATCTTTCATTCTCGCCTGCAGATGTTTTCTTACTAGTTAAGTGTTTAGTTTTTCCACTTACAAAGTCTGTCGTGTAAATAGCAAATGCGCTATGGCGCGTCGCAACTGGCTCTTAAAGGGAATAGGAGATAAGACTCTGATTGGTTTATTCTCAAAACACACCTATAACTCATTAAGAAAATAATCTCAAAGCTTTTAGAGTATGCGCCATGGCGCAAAGTAGATTTTTCCATCCTTAAAATAGCAAAAGTGGATTCTGACACGCCCTGAATGCGTTTGCGCCCTGCGCTTTACACTTAGTGCATAGATCGTCAAAATAGAGCCTGTAGACTTTTACTAGATAAATAAACGTTCCATAGCATTTGTACATAACAGTTGCTGATTACTCCTCTTACAATTATGCTTACTCATTTAGATGTTGCTTTTATCCAAAGAAGCACGAGGATCAATTACTCATAAATCCGAACCCTAATGGGAAAAGGATAGATAATAAATAATGTAGTGATTTTGTCCACTACAGCGCATTTTTGTGTCATCGCTAAAATACTATTATTGTTTTTATTAGTTTGGAAAGTTTTTAGTTTTATTTTTCTATTTGTATTTTAATTTTATTGTTTGTTTTTGTCATATTTTACGTTTTAACATGTATTTTAAAATGTATTTTATTTACCTTAGTACACCATTAAAAACTAAGAATAAATAAGTTTATATATATATATATATATATATATATATATATATATATATATATATATATATATATATATATATATATATATATATATATATATATATATATATTTAGTATGCATTAACTCCTTTAAATTAGTTATCAGATTTTATAATTTGTTTTACAGGTTTAGCTAACTATAATAACCATGCAATTACAGTAAGACCAAAAGCTTTTTACAGTCAAACGTTTTAGAAAACCATTGGCAAAATGCATAATTACAACTTTTGCTCTGTTAAACACAAAGCTGTCATACAACTTTACATTAGTTATTCCTAATACAATAAGGCAGAAAAGGAAGAAAAACAATTACTATAAATCAGACAAATGCAAATAGAAAAACAATCAAGGTCACGGTTTATACCTGGAGATGTAGTCACTGTAATCATCATTGTTTGTCATTGCATAGAAAAAAAACTGTGTGTGTTAATTTTCTGATGAGCTCTCACTTCAAGTAGCCTCATGATCTCAGCTTTATGTTTGTGGTGTAATGTAGAATGCAGAGCGCCCTGAAGACGTTTGCTGTGGATGAGACCTCTGTGTCAGGCTACATCTACCACAAGCTGCTGGGTCACGAGGTGGAGGACGTGATCATCAAATGCCAGCTACCTAAACGCTTCACTGCGCAGGGCCTGCCAGACCTCAACCACTCGCAGGTACAGAAATGTACAAACTCGCATCTTTCTCATAACTTTCTTGGGGCTCGAGTGTTGGCATGGGCCCGTATAAGACTCTGATGGTATGATAACCTTGGATAAAAAGGTCACAATATTGTGAATACATCTCTAAAATATGTTCTTTTTAAATGTTTTACTTTTAAAACAAAAAAATAAATCTTTTACTTTTACTGCTACTTTTTGTCCTCATTAAACACATTATTTTTAATTTTAAGCAACATTTATACTATTTTGGTGCAGTAAACATGTCAGGCTAAATAATTGAAATAAAGCTTTGACTTCTGCTGTCTTCATTAGTTTCAAAAACACAGATTTCTTAAAGATAATAATAATTCCTTACATTTATAAAGCGCTTTTCTGGGCACTCAGTGCTTTACACAATGGTGGGGAATCTCCTCATCCACCACCAGTATGCAGCATCCACCTGGATAACGCGACGGAAGCCATTTTGCGCCAGACCGCACACCACACACCAGCCGATTGGTGGAGATGAGACAGAGTGATGAAGCCAATAATGATATGGGGATGGTTAGGAGGCCATGATGGACAGAGATGGGCAGATTTGGCCAGGATGCCGGGGATGTTTTTCGAAGGACATCCTGGGATTTTTAACGACCACAGAAAGTCGGTTTAATGCTCATCCGAAAGACAGCGCTCACTAAGCACCAAAATGTTTGACACACACACGTAGCCTGTACTGTGCCACTGACACACTGATTTAATATCTGTGACAAAGTGAAAATATAGGCGAGTGTCATTTCGAAATGACAGAAAAACACAAACCGTGGTGAATACAACACACGAAATAAAACGCAAACGGCTCGCGATTAGAATAAACAGCAAATCAACCAGCAGAGTATCAATAACAGACTTTTATTGGTCATTTTTGAAAATTGCACGACTTTCATACCTGTTAAGTTTCATGCCAGTACTCTGGTTTGCTCTCTCACTCTCTCTCTCTATCTCTGTGTTGAAGAGCCGCTGAGCTAACAGCTGACAGGCCGGGAACACACACTGTATTTCTGACGGCAGACACGTGTACTAGGAGAACGTTTTTCTCGTATTTCTGACGCGCTTGAACCACATTTGACAGATTATAACGGCTTTAACAGACACATTTATAAGTTGTGTGTCACAAAAACACTCTGTTATCCATTAAAAACGTCATTGAAACCCATTTTCGGAGCGCAAATTACCAGTTGTACACGCTGTAAACGGAAGTTTTTAGCATTCTACCGGAAGATGCTGGTCGCTATGGCGCCTTCCATGCAGCAGCCATGAAAAAGGTCAATAGCAGGCTTGGATGTTGGTTCATAACATTTTTTTATCAGTTTTTTAGATAAATAATCATGGACTGACCAGCAGCTTTTAGTGTAAAGGGTCCTATTCGGCTGGAGATACTCTTGCCATAAATAAATCAAATTAAATAGTTGTAAAAATAAAGCACATATATCGTAGAAATGGTATAACAGAATATTTACTTTTCGACTTGGTAAACATTGAAACCGATTACTGTCCCATGCCTACTCAAGTGTCTTTGGCACATTCTAGGTTTATGCCGTGAAGACGGTACTCCAGCGGCCCCTCAGTCTGATCCAGGGGCCTCCAGGAACTGGAAAGACGGTCACTTCTGCCACCATCGTCTATCATCTAGCGAGACAGGGCAATGGGTAAGACACTGCAGTGCTAAACATGAACATCTTGTTGAATTTTTTCAGCACATTACAACATTTCAGCTTGACATATGGTTATTTAGTGCTGGAAATTGGATGCTATATATTGTTATTAATATATGGTGCTAGGGCTGCACAATTTATCGCAGGGGTCACCAATCTTGGCCCTGGAGGGCCGGTGTCCCTGCAGGGTTTAGCTCCAACTTGCTTTAACACACCTGCCTGGGTTTTTCAAATAAACCTAGTTAGACCTTGATGAGCTTGATCAGTGTGTTTTAATTAGGGTTGGAGCTAAAATCTGCAACAAATCTGCAAAACTGAACAAGTTTGGTGACCCCTGATTTATCATTTCAGCATCGATATCGCAATATGTGCATTCGAAATAGTCAAGTCGTAGGATCTGCAATGTTGAGTTGGGATTATAGTTGATCATCAGTGAAGACTGTACAGTGTTATTTTACACCACGGTTGATTATTCAATTACTGTACCTGAATATCTGACTACTGTTTGACCGTTTAAGAAAACCATAAAGCACTGCTTATTTCACTTATATCTTTGCTTTGTCCTATTTATTTATCAATGCAATTTGTTTGTTTCACTCTGCTACAAAATAATTCCAATCAATCTTAATTAATGATAGAGCTCATCTGCTGAAATCGTATTCATATCGCAATATGTATCGCAGAAAAATAAAATGTCGCAATATCTGATATTTCCAATATCATGCAGCTCTATGCGATGCTTTTACAAATCGTCACCTTAGAATTATCAGGTTCTATCTGACATTTTTGTCAAAATTGACTAAAACATATTCTTATTAAATGACAACTTATTTACATTGTGTGATATTTTTTATAAGTTTTTTTACATTTTAAGAGTTTTTTTTTTTTTTTTTTTTTTTTTTACAAAAAAGGTGTATCTACAAAGTCGAACTCTAGCTCTTGGCTCTATAAGGATCTACAATATCACACAAAATCAGAGTCGGCTAAATAATGCTGCACAACACACAATTGAGATGTGTGTAAATGTGATGATTTAGAAGCATTTCTTGACATTGAGATTCATTCATTTATTCGTTTTCTTTTCGGCTTAGTCCCTTTATTAATCTGGGGTCACCACAGCGGAATGAACCACCAATTTATCCAGCAAATGTTTTACGCAGCGGATGTTCTTTCAGCTGCAACCCATCTCTGGGAAACACCCATACACAATAAATCACACTCATACACTATGGTCAATTTTAGCTTACCCAATTCACCTGTACCGCACGTATTTGGACTTGTATTTGGATCGAACACGGGGAGAACATGCAAACTCCACACAGAAATGCCAACTGACCCAGCGGAGGTTCGAACCAGTGACCTTCTTATTGTGAGGCGATTGTATATGTCACCGACAATGAGATAAAATGTTGAATTTAATATTGTTGAAAAAGAAACGAATATTAAAAAATGTATATATTAAATGTGAAATATTTTTATTTGTTTACATATAGTCAGTGAAACACTTTTCAGTGTTTATTAAACTCATTTGGTTATCGCCTGTTTCTTTTAAAGTCTTAATTTAATATTAAGCCTTAAAGGGAAAATACTTAATTTAATTCATGGGGCATATAATTCAATAAATATAATTCAATAATTCATATAAAGCATACAATTTAATAAATATTAAGATAATAATAAGACAAAATTACAGCTGCACTAGAAAAAATGTTTAGCTTAGTCTTACATGTTTAATTTTAACAAGAAAATATATTCATCCTAAAACGTGAAATAAATGTTATAAAAAGCAAAAATTAAATTTTCTCTCGCATCAACATATTGTTACAACACCAATTATATTTTTGATTGTATTTCTTGAAAAGTAATGCTTCAATGAATTATCTGGCAGATAGAAGCCCCTTTCACACATACAGACCTTTCCGGAAAATTACCGGCAATTTTCCGGAAAGGTTGTATGTGTGAACAGGTCCTTTTTGAAAATACCGGTAAATTCGTTCTGGCTATTTTCCGGAAAGAGAAGTTGTAACATTACCGGCAATTTGCCGGAATGCTGCGCTGTGTGAACGCAGAAGGAAGATTTCCGGAATAAGCGTGTGCACGTCTAGAACGTGCTGACGTAAGACGTCTGCTTTAGCCAATCACAACAGTCAGACGCATTTACGTCGGTTTATGAGAATAAAAGCCTTTGAATATTTTCCCAGACACATTCAGCTGCTAGAAGTTAGTCAGATCACGTTTATATGTTCTTCTTAATGTCAACTGTGTAAATGATCATCGATGAGATGCTTATGATAAGCCGTTGTTTGTTTACCTTCAAGCTTTGCGTGTGGCTGTGAAACAGCTTGTGAGCGCCTGCACACGCACATATTATGAACATCTCGAAATGCGAAAGTGATCCTGCGAAAGTTGTTCACAATATTGATCATCCACAGAGTTTGTAATTTAGTCAAATGTTTACAAATACAAGCGCAGCCGTTTAAAGCTCATTTGTGGTGAATGATGTCAGAATTTACCGGTATTTTGGAATGGATGTGTGAATGCTCTTTTCCGGAAAAATTCCGTAACGTCCTCGCCTGTGTGAACAGCGCTTTTTTGAATATACCGGTAAAGTCGTTCCGTAAATTTTCCGGATATTTACCGGTATCACTGTGTGAAAGGGGCTTATAGCCTACCTAAAACGCAGTATTAGGAAAAGTAATGGCATACACATAGTATACGTGTATTATTTTTTTTAAATTAAAAGTCATGTCATGTACGTCATTAGCCCCTTTCACACATACAGACCTTTCCGGAAAATTACCGGCAATTTTCCGGAAAGGTTGTATGTGTGAACAGGTCCTTTTTGAAAATACCGGTAAATTCGTTCTGGCTATTTTCCGGAAAGAGAAGTTGTAACATTACCGGCAATTTGCCGGAATGCTGCGCTGTGTGAACGCAGAAGGAAGATTTCCGGAATAAGCTCGTGCACGTCTAGAACGTGCTGACGTAAGACTTCTGCTTTAGCCAATCACAACAGTCAGACGCATTTACGTCCGCGCGGTTTGTGAGGATAAAAGCCTTTGAATATTTTTCCAGACACATTTAGCTGCTAGAAGTTAGTCAGATAACGTTTATATGTTCTTCTTAATGCCAACTGTGCAAATAATCATCGATAAGATGCTTATGATAAGCCGTTGTTTGTTTACCTTCAAGCTTTGCGTGTGCCCATGAAACAGCCTGTGAGCGTCAGCACACGCACATATTATGAACATCTCGACATGCGAAAGTGATCCTGTGAAAGTTGTTCACAATATTGATCATCAAAAGAGTTTGTAATTTAGTCAAATGTTTACAAATACAAGCGCAGCCGTTTAAAGCTCATTTGTGGTGAATGATGTCAGAATTTACCGGTATTTTGGAATGGATGTGTGAATGCTCTTTTCCGGAAAATTTCCGTAACATCCTCGCCTGTGTGAACAGCGCTTTTTTGAATATACCGGTAAAGTCGTTCCGGAAATTTTCCGGATATTTACCGGTATCACTGTGTGAAAGGGGCTAGAATCTTATAATACCAAGTGGAAAATGACTTTTCAGAATGAGAAGGTTCTATCTGCATTTACCGTGTTTTTTTTACTCCAAATTGCAAGTGTAAGAGAACTGTGACAGGGCTCAACAATAAGGACTGCCCCGTGGCCCGGGGCCAGTGTGAAAGACACTAGGGACAGTAGACAGGATTGTTACTGGCCCCTATCGGCCAGTAACGTTGAGCAGTTTTTTTTTTTTTTTTAACCTGGTAACAACCCGTACAGCGAAAAGATGGCAACATGGCGGCAAAATTAAACAATGAGGCTAAAAGAAAACGTCTTTTTCTAAAGTCTTAGAAGCAGACAACTACATGGGAACAAAATTAAGAAACTGAAAAAAAAAAAAAACAGTTGTCAGTTTGGCAAGCCATTTTTATAAAAAAAATTATTTAGAATTGCATTAAAATACCAGCACATTTTTCATACTGCTCTTTCATTTGCATAAAATCTTGAATTTTGCTCATTATACATTTATTAACATATTTAAAATGTTTAAATTCTAGATTCACAGGCATAATTTTGCCATTATTTAAAATATGTGGCTAAGAAATAGCTATTAACTTTTTAGTTTTTTTTTTTGGTGGGGCCAGTGAAAATTTTGGCAGGGCAAGTAAAAATCTCAACCAATGGCCCGATCGGACCCGTATAAAAAATCCTTAGCGTTGAACCCTGTGTGATAATTTACATTTAGAGAACTCTTAGGGTCTCTGTCATGTTAATGTATGAAAAAGAACTGCTACACACATATTGTTTGCTATATGGATTGTAAAAACTTTTGAAGCTCAATATCTCAAAATCTGTTAGAACGCAGATAGAACCTTATAATTCTAAGGTGACGAAATGTTAAATATTAGTACTATTAAGGATTTTCATTGACTATATTACTATATATTTATATACTATATATTGTATATTCACGATATTACTAAAAGTACAATCCAGAATGTCGTGTAATGAAAAAAAATCATGCATAAAAATTTTGTGGTAACAGTTGCTTTTTTCTCATGTTAACTGTGCATCTTTGTTGTGCAGCACATTTTAACAAAAAAAATAAATACAAGTAATTGTTTAATTTTACTTTATATCTTAATTTATTGATCCTTTTGAGTCAGAACAAAAATTCTGAGATGCACAATTTTATCACCAAAGTATATGTAATTAATAAAATTCATAATACTAATTAAATTAATTAGACATGCTTTATGATTAACATATGCTTCTTTTGTTTAAATGTCAACTAAACCTCACAATTTCTATACCATTAATAAACAATCCAGAAAAATGTAAAGAATAAAACATTTTATAGGTCCTATTGTATCTAATCTGTTTTTTTTCTCCTTTTGTGCTGTCTCCATGTGTAGTCCAGTGCTGGTTTGTGCGCCGAGTAACATCGCTGTGGACCAGCTAACAGAGAAGATCCATCAGACGGGACTGAAGGTGGTTCGTCTGTGTGCTAAGAGTCGTGAGGCCATCGATTCACCTGTGTCTTTCCTGGCTCTGCACAATCAGATCCGCAACATGGACAGGTACCACCATTTCTGTTCTTAACCCTGGTGTGCTGTAGGGGATGATTTCATCCACTCCGGGAGGATTTTGAGGCTTAATTTGGCCACAACTTTTTTCAGCAAATGAGCAGATTTTTGGTGACAACTCTTATTTTGACACATATTTTGGGAAATGCTTTGGAATTTTTCAAAAACTCAACAATAAGCTCTGGGCAAATTGACTTCCTTTTCGTTATGTTGGGCGCTGTTTTTGCCCCATTGACTTCCATTATAATGACATTTTTTAATTGCAAAGCCATGACGGCATATAATCATACATTCCTGATTGTTGCTGGTTTTCGGGCAGGGTTTCAACAACTGTAATTTTTGTCTTTGGAATCCATTCAGGCTGAAGAAACTAATATATATATATATATATATATATATATATATATATATATATATATATATATATATATATATATATATATATATATATATATATATATATATATTAAGGGTGTCACGATCCTCCAAATCCTTGATTCGATTACCTTTTCGAATTCTGAATGCATGATTCGATTTTCGATTATAAATAATTCATTAATTAATAACGAATTAATTATTAGTAGCCTACCGTTTAAACTACCTGACCTGGATGGTCTTTGTTTTACCCATAACCAAATCATACAGTAAATGAATAAAGGCAAGATACACACATAATTACCACCTGTCAATCACTTTTTCCACGGGACTCGTGAATAGGCAGTGATCTGTGTCGTTATAATGGCGTCAGTAAAAAAGGTGCACAACCAACAGGAGTCAGCCAACAGTATCTGAGGTGCTCGCTAAAATTACTAAGTACTTGTGTGAAAGTAAAAGATTGAAGCAGTCTACTGACCCGCTGACTGCCTGGACCCGCTGTCTCGAGCGCATGACAAGGTGTGTGCGTCTGTGTCTGTGTGTGAATGAGTGTGTGTGGTCACGTGATGTGCGATTTCAGCGGTATTGAGGAAGGAGGGCTGCTCAGAAATGCTACACACCAGTGTGGATGTGGATCGTTGTCGTTGTAAAATGCCATTTAAAAACAAAACGTTATTAGTGTAAACAGGGCCTGAGTGTGTATTTTTCGCGAGCGGATTTGCAACGGGTGCGGGGCGGAGGATCGCGATGCGTCCATCGTCTATCATCCCAACCGTAATACGTACATAGCAGAGCTTGCAAACTGTGTTTTTGTTTTGTCGACAACACGAACGTTGTCAACATAACTAACTGGAAATCTAAAATGCTTCCACACCGGCGACTTCATTGAAAGATGAGAGGGTTTAAGTTCTGTCGACGGGTCTCCTGCGTCTGCAGTTCAACAAGCCTGTTTTTTTCCCGCTTGCAGCTGACGTGACATGGGGGCGTGGCAGCATCGACGATTCTATTTTTTGATTCGATAATCGAAATTGAGCATAAATTTCGATCGATTTCGATTTGACATCCTTAATAAATATATATATATATATTAGATTTATATAATAGATTTATGCTTGTGAAACTTGTCTGGTCAGTGGCTGGACAGGTTCTTTCACATATCTTCCTCATTTACGTGCTTTTTGTCTTCACCTTAACTCTGCCCCCTCCTAAAACAACTCTGTCCAAATTACACCCATTAGACTCTTGTAGACTGTAAGAGACTCTGTTAGACTTGCAGACTCATGTGGATTTCTTGAAGATGCTGTTTGACTGCAGAACAACCAACACATCTCGATTAAAGATTTATGCTTGTAACGAGTCTCCTTGTCTAGGTTCTTTAATTTACTACATCACTTACTTTATGTTTAAGAAAATCAAAATAAGAAGCTCAGGTCTCCGAACACTGTAAGCATAGTAAATGTATTTCTGGACACACACTATAATCTGCTGTTTTACTTCATAGAATTTAAACACCTCTACTTTGGAAAAAATCAGGAAAGTGGGCGTGTCCAGCTCTGTTTAGGGGGGAGTGTTGGAGGAGGGAAAAATGCACGGTCCGTAAAAATTTGCTTAAAAATGGGAGTTCCGGTTTGGGCATGCCATGATTGTCACACAGGCGAAACAAACACACAGACGCAGAGGAGAAAGACAGTGACTGTGTTTGCATGGACATTAGTAATCGAATTGTTAGCAAAATTATTAAATGGTGGACTTTAACTGCAGTTTGGCTCTTTCATTCAGCAATTTCATTCATGCCCCTCGTGACAAATGAGATATTTGATTCGAGGAACTGCTGTAAGCAATATTATATATTTCTGCTTATTGGTTTGAACCAAGTTATACTCGTGAATGAATGCAACATTCAGAAATGTAAAAAGGCCCTCCCAGGTACAGATGTCCAGTCTACACGCTGGAATACACGCTAAGATCTCATGGCCAAGATCACGCAGCTTAGAAAATTAGTTTCTAACCGGAAGTACGAATTTGCTCGAAATAACTCAAAAACAACCAATTTTCACTTTTTAGTGAAATGCATGTGCCCTAATGCTGTGTTCACACTAGACGCAGAATAGCATGGATAAATTTCGTTATTCGCACGTAAATAGCCGTGTAAACATATTAGTTTACTCGCTTCATGTGCGCGTCAAACCTTGCTTCATTTGCGTGTCAAACCCGCTTCATTCGCGCGTCAAATCCGCTTCATTCGCGCGTCAAATCCGCTTCATTCGCGCGTCAAATCCGCTTCATTCGCGCGTCAAATCCGCTTCATTCGCGCGTCAAATCCGCTTCATTCGTGCGTCAAATCCGCTTCATTCGTGCGTCAAATCCGCTTCATTCGTGCGTCAAATCCGCTTCATTCGTGCGTCAAATCCGATTCTTTCGCGCGTCAAATCCGCTTCATTCGCGCGTCAAATCCGCTTCATTCGCGCGTCAAATCCGTTTCATTCGCGCGTCAAATCCGCTTCATTCACGCGTCAAATCCGCTTCATTCACGCGTAAAATCCGTTTCATTCGCGCGTCAAATCCGTTTCATTTGCGCGTCAAATCCGTTTCATTTGCGCGTCAAATCCGCTTCATTCGCGCGTCAAATCCGTTTCATTCGCCTGTCAAATCCGCTTCATTCGCGCGTCAAATCCGCTTCATTCACGCGTCAAATCCGCTTCATTCACGCGTCAAATCCGCTTCATTCATGTGTCAAATCCGCTTCATTCGCGCGTCAAATCCGCTTCATTCGCGCGTCAAATCCGCTTCATTCACGCGTCAAATCCGCTTCATTCATGTGTCAAATCCGCTTCATTCGCGCGTCAAATCCTCTTCATTCGCGCGTCAAATCCTCTTCATTCGCGCGTCAAATCCGCTTCATTCGCGCGTCAAATCCGATTCTTTCGCGCGTCAAATCCGCTTCATTCGTGCGTCAAATCCGCTTCATTCGCGCGTCAAATCCGCTTCATTCATGCGTCAAATCCGCTTCGTTCACGCGTCAAATCCGCTTCGTTCACGCGTCAAATCCGCTTCATTCGCGCGTCAAATCCGCTTCATTCGCGCGTCAAATCCGTTTCATTCGCGCGTCAAATCCGCTTCATTCACGCGTCAAATCCGCTTCATTCACGCGTAAAATCCGTTTCATTCGCGCGTCAAATCCGTTTCATTTGCGCGTCAAATCCGTTTCATTTGCGCGTCAAATCCGCTTCATTCGCGCGTCAAATCCGTTTCATTCGCCTGTCAAATCCGTTTCATTCGCGCGTCAAATCCGCTTCATTCGCGCGTCAAATCCGCTTCATTCACGCGTCAAATCCGCTTCATTCACGCGTCAGATCCGCTTCATTCATGTGTCAAATCCGCTTCATTCGCGCGTCAAATCCGCTTCATTCACGCGTCAAATCCGCTTCATTCATGTGTCAAATCCGCTTCTTTCGCGCGTCAAATCCTCTTCATTCGCGCGTCAAATCCGCTTCATTCGCGCGTCAAATCCGATTCTTTCGCGCGTCAAATCCGCTTCATTCGCGCGTCAAATCCGCTTCATTCGCGCGTCAAATCCGCTTCATTCATGCGTCAAATCCGCTTCGTTCACGCGTCAAATCCGCTTCGTTCACGCGTCAAATCCGCTTCATTCACGCGTCAAATCCGCTTCATTCGCCTGTCAAATTCACTTGTGAACAGACTAGCTTTGTTGCTAAGTGGCTAACATGGATTTTTTTGAGAAAATAACTGTTTATGTGCTTTTATTAAAGCTGAAAAACAGCGTCAATAAGTTTAGGGCCGTGTCTGAGTCCACTACATCCTTTCATAGGTGCATCCAGCTCTGAGCTCTTAAACTCCTCCAGAAACTGATCCTGGATGATGGAGGCTTCCAGCGGTGCTTGTGATTGAGCCAACCCCAGTTTGATGCACTGTTGTCTGTGTCGGCTGGGGGATTTTCCTTCAGGACACCCACAACGGCGTACGTCACAATCACGCCCCCACAAGACCAAGCTCCTGATTGGTTAACGCAGCGCGAATGTCCGCTTAAGTTCAGATTTTTGAACTCGAGCAAAACGCGCGTTAAGCATGTCAAACGCGCAAAACGGCCAATTCGTGCCATGCCATTCGCGTGTATCGCGCTATTTGCTCCGCGCAATTCGCATCATTCATGCTGCGTCATTTACGCGTATCGCCTCGCAGGATGTCAATTCGCACATTTGCATTGACTTAACATGTAAATCACTCGCGCTTGACACACATTCTGCGTCTGGTGTGAACGCAGCATAATAGTGTTTTTAGCAGTGTGGGACACATATATGACCGTCAACAGCTCAAATAATGTGTTTGGGTGTTTCGTGACCCTTTAAGATTGATGCATATGTAGCTTGTAAATAAAATCTTCTGAACATTAATGTTGTCTGTTTGATTTGCAGCATGCCAGAGTTGCAGAAGCTTCAGCAGCTGAAGGATGAAACTGGCGAGCTTTCGTCCTCTGATGAGAAACGTTACCGTGCTCTCAAACGAACTGCAGAGAGAGAGCTGCTCATGGTACCTGTCTGATTCACTTTAAAACACTGATAGATGCTAAATGCCAAATGAAGTGTTTTAGATATCTGAAGTTCTTTATTTGTTTTCTTAAAATGGATAGTTCTGGTTCTTGATTCTGATTGGTTGATCTGTGTTCTAAGCTGAAGTACTCTACATACACACACCTGATTGTATTTATTGAATAATAATGCACCACCAACATGTAATTACTGTCAAGCTGCTCTCACCGTAAAACATTTTTGATTAGAATATGAAGGGTTAAGTGGCATTAGGCATGATTTTTATATTGAAAACACTTGATGGATGTTTTTAAACAGGCTTTTAATCTAATATTGATTTGAAAAATCATACATAACATGTAATATACATTTTTTTATGCATTTTATTTATATTTATATATTTTTGTATCATCTCTAATCGAAATATGAAGTCGTTCTTATAATGTAATGTGTTTTATGTATATTGATCTTGCCATGAAGCAGCTGTAAGTTGCTGATCTGGCAATAAATAAAACAAACAGGTAATAAAATAATTAATATATTCACTGTAAAACACAGCTGTTTGGGGTTTATTGGATTAATTTATGCATAAAACATAATATTGTCTTGTTTCGACCCAAGAAATGGTGCCTGTTTTTGTATGGTGCATTTTTCTCCCTGCATCAGCGCACCTCCTGATGTGCATCTTGTTGTTGTTTTTCAGAATGCAGATGTGATCTGCTGCACATGTGTGGGTGCGGGTGACCCTCGTCTGGCTAAAATGCAGTTCCGCTCCATTCTCATCGATGAAAGCACACAGGCCACGGAGCCCGAGTGCATGGTGCCAGTGGTGCTCGGGGCTAAACAGGTATGTGACTGGACACACCCCTCCTCCTGAGGGTTTGTTTGTGTGGTTGTTTAATAATCGGTGAGAAATGTGCATACTGTATTTATTAGTAAACTGCCTTTGCATAATACACAATACCAAACTTCTGACCAGTAAAGTATACTTTAAGTTATTTGTTTTCATCTTTTATAAAAAAAAAAGAAGAAAAAAAAAGAAAGCTATTAAAGTAAAAATACAGTAAAAATTGAAAAAATAGTGAAATGTTAGAGGTGAACCTACACTGGTCTCACTATTCAGTTACGATTATTATGCCATCGATTGGGTTCATCCAATAGACTGATTTCACGCGAATGCCATTGTTAGAAGCGAAATCGAAGCTGCGGTGGGAAGAAACCCGGAAGTATCGTTGGGAGTTACAAAGGAACGTTGTGTACCTGGCTATATATCTTATCAGCAAAGAGAAAGTGACACCAATTTATAATTTCACCGCCTTCCCAGTGACCATTCTGTATGAATGGTAAAAATAAAAAGGGATATCAGAGCTCATTTTCAGCTAAGTTAAGGGAAATGGCACTAGTTAGCTAACGTTTTCTTGCCAAAACACACGTTTTAGATGCCATTTATCAAACTCGAGTTAATGAACTGATTCTTTCACTATATTAGACTCGTCACCATAGTGACTTAAAAGAAAAACCGTCAATTTCCCGCTAACATTTAAGGCACTGTTGATGGCTTTCTTAAAACAGCGCTGATTTTGACAATGTGTTCATATGCTCAACCGAATTACTTGTGATTAGCCAAGAAAGTCATCAGTTCACCCTCCGCTGTTTACCGAGCACAAATACACAGCGAGCGATCTGCTTAATGACTAGGCTGATCTTCACGACTGCTTAGCGCAAACACAGACACACGTGGACCGGAGTGCGAAGCAGCCGTGAAGATCAGTCTCCATTTTCTTGTTGGCTTAGTCCCTTTATTAATCCGGGGTCGCCACAGCGGAATGAACCGCCAACTTATCCAGCAAGTTTTTACGCAGCGGACGCCCTTCCAGCCGCAACCCATCTCTGGGATACATCCACACACACATTCACACACACACTCATACACTACGGACAATTTAGCCTACTCAATTCACCTGTACCGCATGTCTTTGGACTGTGGGGGAAACCGAAGCACTCGGAGGAAACCCACGCGAACGGAGGGAGAACATGCAAACTCCACACAGAAACGCCAACTGAGCCGAGGCTCGAACCAGAGACCCAGCGACCTTCTTGCTGTGAGGCGACAGCACTACCTACTGCGCCACTGCTTGCTTAAATTTTTTCATATTAACCTTTTTTGACTGGTGGTTATAAAAACAAAACTTAACAAATTGTATTGCTATAAGAAATCATTGTTATCAGTTCATTGTATGACATTCAAATATTGTAATTGTGTTTTAAAATGAGCTTGTTGTAGATCTTAAATAATCAGAATCTGTAAGTTTTCTGTGTAGTAACGGTGCTTTGCTTTTGTCTTCGGCAGCTGATTCTGGTCGGTGACCACTGTCAGCTGGGCCCTGTGGTCATGTGTAAGAAAGCAGCGAAAGCAGGCCTTTCTCAGTCTCTGTTCGAGAGGCTGGTGGTGCTGGGCATCAGACCCATCCGTCTGCAGGTGCAGTACCGCATGCACCCGGCGCTCAGTGCTTTCCCATCAAACATCTTCTATGAGGGATCTCTGCAGAACGGGGTCACTGCCGGTATGGGACATTTCTGCTTGCATTGTACTTCACAGATGCATGCGTTTAGTTCAATGGCATTTATTTAGCTAATTAAGCATTTAGGCTTAAGAAATATTTTCACAAATCATAATTATTAAAAACCTTTGAGTAACAGTAGTGTATTGGAAATATCTTCATTTGACATTGACTTTTTTGTTTTATTAATGCATATGATTGTCTTTTTTAATATCCATGTGAGCAATATTTCTATTTTATTTAATTATTATCATAAATCTGATGTAATTAAGGACTGCTAACAATATAATATGCAAATAAAAGCAGTTTTGGCAAGCAGACGAGTAGAAGATCTGACTTTAGAAGTATTAAAAAAAACTGCAAGCCTTTGCGCAGCTGTAGTATATAGACAGAAAGGCTTTGTGTTTATTATAGCACACTGATGATGTTTTGTCGTTCTCCAGCTGATCGCCTTAAGAAAGGCTTTGACTTCCAGTGGCCCCAGCCTGATAAGCCCATGTTTTTCTACGTGACCCAGGGCCAGGAGGAGATCGCCAGCTCCGGCACCTCATATCTCAACAGGTAGAGTTCAATATGAGATCCCAGTCAAAACACAACATCTGACTTATGTTACACACAAATGAGCTAAATTGTGCTTTATTTTATTTTTTAAATGACAAGGCTCATTCAGATAGACTGTAAATCAGAATGAATGTAATCACGGGTCAGATTTGATGAAGAAGTTACAACACAGCATATGAGACACATATTGCACATATCTGACAGAAATGACACCACATACACTTAATAAACAAATACAGTTCATTAAACATGTGCGAGTAGACATAACTGCATGTTAACTATGTTTATATATTATAACTTTGAAGGCTATTAGTTAGTAGTTAATTAGTTAAAGTACCTGTTACATGTTTAAAGGGTCACGAAACACTAAAACACATGTTTTGAGCTGTTGACAGTCGTATATGTGTCCCACACTGCTAAAAACACTATTAGGACACCTATATTTCACTAAAAAGTGTAAATTGGTTGTTTTTGCGTTATTTCAAGCAAATTCGTACTTCCGGTTTGAAACGAATTTTTGAAGCTGCGTCATGGCCATGACATAATAGCGTGTATTCCAGCGTGCAGACTGGGCGTCTGTGCCTGAGTGAGTCTTATTACGTCTTACAGTGAGATGCATTAATGCATGAGTAAAGCTTGCTTCAAACCAATCAGCGCGCTCTATTGTGCAACTTTATTAATATTCATTACTGTCAGAGTGTTTTCAGGACAGAGACGCCACGTTGTGTTTGCAAAACAAGCGTTAAGTTTGGTTGAGCTCAGCTGGAGTCACGTGTGGATTAACAGTGTACGCGACGCTCGACAACAATAACTTGCGTGTCTAAGGAGGATTATTGTTTACCTGAGAGCTGTTCTCATCTGCAAACGCTGAGATCCGGATTCGCTTGTAGTCTTCTCTTAATAAAGACGCGGCTCTAGTTGCTGGTGATTGTCCTGTCTGTACAGATTTGGTAAGTGAGTGACCAGTGCTCTTTGTTTATTCAGTTTGTTCGTATCGAACAAACTATTGCACCGAGTGTAAACATGTTAGCACCACAACCAAACTTTAACCTCGTGTAGAATTTTCACCGCATATTGTGATCGGAATAACCCGGAATAACACACGCGGCTTTCTGACGCTACCTGCCGTGTGCATCTAAATTTCCGGGAAATGCTGAGTTTTTTTTTTTCTCATTCGCCGTGCGGTATCAAACATTGCATGAAAAACACACGCTTAGAGCAGTTCCTCGAATTAAATATCTCATTTGTCGCGAGGCACATGAATGAATTCCCTGAATGAAAGAGCCAAACTGCAGTTAAAGTCCAACATTAAATAATTTGGCAAATAATTCGACTACAGATGTCCATGTAAACACAGTCACTTTGTCCCGTGTGTGTATTTTTACTCTGAAACTCAGCGCGCCTAGATAGACACTCCCACACCATCCCTCTTTTCTTCCTCCAACACTCCCCCCTAAACAAAGCTGGACACGCCCACTTTTCTGACTTTTTCTAAAGTAAAGGTGTGAAAACACTCTGCTGAAACAAGGGGCTTTCATGGCCCTTTAAGATGTTGAAGTGGGATGCTGTAGCATTTAGGTGAGACAGGTGTAATGTGTGCGACAGATCAAGGATGAAGCAAGAATCAAATCTCTTATTTAAGCTTGTTACTCAATGGTTGAAACAATATGACACAATAACAAATGGGGAAAAAAAGAAATAAACATTTATAATTATTATCTTTAAACAAAAACAACGAGTGTAAGCCAAATCAAAGAAATTAACAAAACAAAACAATCCTTAAATCTAAAGTCTAAACTAGGCGTCAAAAAGAATCACAAATAAAAACCGAGATCTTCAGTGTATACGACACCCGAACGTAACTAATTAAACTACAAAACTCAAAGTACACAGGTGTATTTTTTTGATAGTCTACAGAACAAACCATCGTTATACAATAACTTGCCTAATTACCCTAACCTGCCTAGTTAACCTAATTAACCTAGTTATTAAATGTCACTTTAAGCTGTATAGAAGTGTCTTGAAAAATATGTAGTGAAATATTATTTACTGTCATCATGGTAAAGATAAAATAAATCAGTTATTAGAAATTAATTATTAAAACTATTATGTTTAGATTTGTTATGTATACTATGTATATTTCCGTTAGACAGAAATTGGGGAGAGAAAAATAAACAGTGGGCCAATAATTCAGGGGGGCTAATAATTCTGACTTCAACTGTATATGTACATACAATGGTCAAATTTTATATTTATTTATTTTTTATTTCCTTATGTGTGTTTTTGTTCTGTCATTGTCATTCTGTTGCACTGTGGAAACGTCTGTTACAAAAACCCTCATATAATTCCTTGTAAGCTGAACAACATTCGAGCATTGATATCTGCAATGGTCACATCGCAGGATTAAATTATGTGTTAACGATTATAAGATAAAGATTTTATTAGACAATTTTTTTTAAATTATTTCTAAAATGTTGACCATGTTACGTTATGTTTGATTGCTCCATTTCTTTATCTGAATACTGCTAGACTCTCCAGAAAAAAAATAAATCACTGTTTATTTCAGTTTTTTTTGTGCTTATAATTTTATTCAGACTTGAAAAAAGACAGAAAAAGACTTGATTCCAGTCCATCTAAGTTAACAAAGTCTTTCCAGATAAAGCTATTCCAGTCATCTTGTCAAATTATATTCATGTATTACAGCAAAATAAAATATTCCAATGTCAGATTTTTCCAATATCGTGCAGCCCTTTCTGGCAATAAAGCTCTGTCTGATTCTGATATTATAAAGCAGATTTGGTTCCAATAGTCGAATATCTGGAATTGTGTGACGACTGAAACTATGAAAATCTTTAAAAATTCACAAGCTTTGTCTGATAAACAATCTTTTCTCTGTGTAGGACTGAGGCTGCTAATGTGGAGAAGATCACCACTCGTCTGCTGAAGGCCGGAGCCAAACCTGACCAGATTGGCATCATCACGCCGTATGAGGGCCAGCGCTCTTACCTGGTGCAGTACATGCAGTTCAGCGGCTCATTGCACACCAAACTCTACCAGGTACAGCATGCAAACAATCACAGTATTAAACCCCAATCTGTTATGGATTTAAGTGTAAAATACTTTACTGTGTTTTGTTTTTCTTATTTTCTAACTTAATTTAAAAGTTTCGTGTCACTTTTAAAGTACATTTAAATTAATTTTAATTAGGATTTTGTAAGTTATATCTCCATAGGTACTTTGCCTTTCTTTTTTTTTTATTCTTTATTTGCAGCTAAAAATTGTGGTTCTGGCTGCTTATATTTTAAAACTTGCCAAACTTGTTTAATTATTCATTTTAAAGAGTGTAAACAATAGATTTTTGTACTAACAAGTAATCAGAATTTTTTTCATGAATGCCACAAGTGACATGTAAAACAAATACATGCATGCATATGTATATACCAGTTCTGTTTCAGTGTTTTATTTTAAATTTTGTGTCTTTTTTTTGGTCTGTTTTAGGGTCTGTTTAGTTATAGTACCATAGTTTAAATTAAATTTAAAAAATCCCCAATATAGCTAGCCAACTAGCTGGAAATATCTTAAAGTTATTCAATTCAATTCAGCTTTATTTGTATAGCGCTTTTACAATGTAGTGTCAAAGCAGCTTCACATAAATGGTCATAGTAATTGAAACCGTGTAGTTCAGTTTTTAGTGTTTAAGTTCAGTTCAGTTTAGCTCAGTTTAGTTTGGTTTAAAATCCTTACTGAGAGTCCAAACACTGAAGAGCAAATTCATTTATTTTAAATTACAAAATTGTTTGCAAATTTCTAGGAATTACCGCCACAAAATCAGCCAATTTTAATCGGCATAAAGATTTTTGTGAAAATCTGGGGGGTTCGATAATTGTAATTGTAATAACATTATTAAATACAAACCTTATGATGAATTCAAATTTCTTGATTTCTTGGTATTACGCCCTAAGTCTAGAAGAAAACAACATGGGCATAATAAACGGAAAAACAAATGTGTTGGGGGGGTGGATTTCCCAAACAAAACAAAAAATTAAATGCAAAAGATCCCCTTCAGTCGACAACCAAACTCAGACTCTCAGCTGAGAGTAATTAAATATATTTACTATAGAAAAAAGTAGTAAATTTAAATGAGCATAGATGCGTCCCAAATCGCATACTTATGCACTATTCTACGCCATTTTGTGGTATGAATAGTCTAAGTAGTGTGTTCACACTAAAAACTCTTTAAAAAAAAAATAATAATAATAATAAGTGCACTCTAATTACCCGGATGATGCTCTCAATCAGCCAGTAAAGTGAAGTGTGTAATGATAGACACTTCACACACTCAATGACTGCAGGTTTGATCAAGTAGCAGAAAGGGCGGAGCTATCGGGTGCACATGTTGGATAACTTCATTTATTTTGGATGGTGAAAGCAAAATTCTCCTACGAGAGTGATTATAGCGCCTCCCGATGGTGAATGCAGTTACACTCACGGCAGGTATTATTTGATTATTTGGTCGTTTATTTCACTGATTTGGCGACCGTCAAACGTCATTATGGAAACGGTTTGAATTTTTGCTTGGTAAAAAACCATTAGGGTGCCATTTGGGACGACATTACATACATATACTATACTGTTGAGTGTGTAAGTGCATGAGTGTATAGTGTGCCATTTGGGACGCAGCTCATCTTTTCAGGGTGTCCCTTGACCAGAGGGTTAAGAGAAATCTAGGAGCTCTTGGTGATCATTATTATCATAAATTCATAAAAGTTAAACCTCAAACGATTGTTATTGAATGTATTGTGTTCTTCAAATGAGCTGTTCATCATTGGCGGTATCTGCAGGAGGTGGAGATCGCCAGTGTGGATGCATTTCAAGGCAGAGAGAAGGACTTCATCATCCTGTCCTGTGTCAGAGCTAATGAACACCAGGGCATCGGCTTCCTGAACGACCCGCGCCGTCTCAATGTGGCACTCACCAGAGCCAGGTAACAATAGCACACCCTGAGTGAAGGCTGGTTTAAACTCTACGTTAAGGCAGCACTATATATCCTTTCGACATCGATATCACAATCTGCATATCAGTAATAGTCACATTGCAGGATTTACCATGTCGAATCGGGATTATAGTTGATTAGAGCCACAGTTAATAACTTCTTCACCGCTGTTTCATCTTGAGTCTTTGTTGTTACCAATAATAATACAATAGCGTGCACGAGTTGTAAGATAAAATATACAAGCACATGTCATAAGCCAGTGTGATTGTTGAAACTGAAAAACATTATTTGAGGTAGAAGTAAAACTGACTTTCCTATAAGTCCCCATTTAGTGTTTTCATGCTACATAAGCTTTGACCGTCACTTGAAGTGTGTCTATAAATAACTCTTCTGTAATGTCATGCACAAATGTTTGTGTGCAGATATGGGGTGATCATTGTGGGCAACCCTAAAGCTCTGTCCAAACAGCCCCTGTGGAACCACCTGCTGAACTACTACAAGGAGCAGAAGGTGCTGGTGGAGGGTCCTCTCAACAACCTGAGGGAGAGTCTCATGCAGTTCAGCAAACCACGCAAACTGGTCAACACCATCAACCCTGTGAGTAATAGACTGCACAGAGCGATATATCATGGCTGATACATCAGTGCATTCTTAAATATTTATTGGTTTAATTTAAAGCTATCACAGGGTGTCGGTGGGTCTTAAAACCTTTAAGAGTGCTTTCACATCTGTAGATCGATTGTTTTGTTGAGAAACACGGATTAAAATTGGTACAGTGTTGATTTTTGTTCTTGGTGTGGTTTGCTTTCACACAGCAACATTTCTAATCAGACCAAAAATATTAAAACAAGTCACGTGTGACTCTCTTCACATGGTTTCCGCTATTTTCTTTCTTCCGTGGCGGGGCACCACACTAAAAGTCATCCCGCCACGGCTACATTTCAGCTTCTTATTCAAAATATTTGGTCGTTTTTTAAATAGCGTGTTAAAATCGCACCGAAAACGTATGAAAAGGTAAGTTAATAACAGCGCAAACTTTTCTGTGACAGTAGTAGTGCTGTGCGCTCTGTTTAACCCTTTAAGATGACGTGCAGACTGACTGACTGACAGGTGCGTGATGCGTGAGGTGAGCAAACACGGCGTAGCTTTTAGTTATGATAAACACAGTTTCCATAATTTTTCTTTATTTATAGATAAAGGTCTGTGGTTCTGCATATAATGACTTTATCATGCTGGAGTTTATAGCCGTTTCACTTTACTTCAGGACGCATTAATGCCAAGTCTATCGGAGACATTTATAAATATTCCTAGCAAATCTAATAAATGTTGGAGACATACTCAGTACATAAACGCACTAAATCACACTTCAGCCGCGTTTATTTGAGGGCGCGCCTAAAAATCAGCACTTGAGCAGTGTATATTTGAGGGCACGCGATAAGTTTTGTGCACGAACAGAGGAAATCGGTGCTGAAGCAGAGATTGACATGCTTGTAGGCTATTACATGAATGCGATCTCGACTTAATACTGCGCACATGATATTTGTCAATGAAATAACAGCACATGTAGTGGTAGATCTGTGTAAAATGGCCAACAAAGTCTGCCGCCACAGCTGGAAAAATCCTAGAGGAAACACTGCCTCACATTGGTCATAGTTTGATTTATTCTTCGGGATTTCGTCATGTCGTTATTTTAATCTATGACGATGGGAAATGACACATTATAAGCAAAAAAAAAGTGCACTTTAATTTTGAATAGTCAAAATTCACCTAATTCACAGTCTCGGACCGATCGATTTGGTGATGAGCATCCACAAAGCCAAAAAGAAGAGCAGATTTACCCTGTGCCCCATAGTTTTTTACTGAGCCAGTCTCAGCTTGCACTTGCCCCGCGTCTATATCTGAAATAACAAACTTCTTGAGTTGATGATAATAACATGCGCTTGATTGTTGACGTGCTTTTAAAACCCGATCCTGTCGGAATCTGACAAACTAGAGAGTGACACATTCAGAAAGACAAACGCGAGAGTGAAGCGCGAACAAAGGAGAAGCCCGACAAAACTCAGGAGCAAATTATTTCAGCAACCTGAACTGCCATGTTTATCATCGCCTTTTGGACTATTATGAACTGGGAATGACATAATTACTCTCTAACAGAGGCTATATGTGCTGCTGAAGATTACAGACACAGATGAGAGGTTTGCGCTGGCTGTGGGCTATATTGCATGATGTTTTTGAACCCAAATAAGCACTAAATGTCTGTTGTGTGTAGTTCTCTTTTAATTGGTAACATATCGGAAACTGTAAGGGGCTGTATGTGTTCAAATATGTTGCATTTTTTAATTTAATATAATTACAGACGTTACAGTAGGCTTTTTCGTCATTGATCTGCAGTTATAATCAAATCATGTTCATAGAAAGTTAGTAATAAACATTTATAAACAAGTATTTATGTGTGCAAAGCGTCTGCTTCTCTTATGATATGTAAGTGAGAGGTACAGCTTTACTGTAGACATTTATTCGAGCGAGAATTACGTCGACTAAATCTCTCTGTCTTACACCACGCCCACCAAAATGGTTCCCTTGGTAGTGGAAACGCAAGCCAGTACCGACCTGTACCGTACTGTACCACTCAGTGGAAACAAGCCATAACGTGGCAAACGCATCATATTCCCAAACAAATCGTCACCTTCGAATTATCAGGTTCTATCTGACATTTTTGTCAAAATTGAGTTATAGACATATTCTTATTAAATGACAACTTATTTACATTTTTTATAAGTTTTTTATAAGTTGTTTACATTTAAAGACTTTTTATTTAAAAAATAAAAAAGATTTTATCTACAAAATTAAACTCTAGCCTGCATATCAAATGCACACACAAGGACCAATCAGGATCAGCTTTCTTTGTCAATTTTCCGGACTGCAACATTGACAGTGGAAAAGACCAAAAGAAATACAAAATCATTAAAGTCAACTAAATAATGCTGCACCACGCAAAATTAAGAAGAAACCTAAAACTGAAAAGATGTGTGTAAATGTGATGATTTGGAAGCTTTTTTTTTTTTACATTGAGATGAAATGTTAAACTTGACATTGTTGAATATAATGTAATATAAGGTGAAATATTTTTATTTGTGTGTGTGTGTATATACATCAAAGGCCATAAAGTCCATCTGACAGTGTTAATGTTTGTTTCAGGGAGCCCGCTTCATGAGTACCGCCATGTATGATGCAAGGGAGGCCATGATTCCTGGATCTGTGTATGATCGCAGCAGCACTGGTGAGAAACTCATATTAAAGTTTTCTTAGCAGTGGACAATTAGGGGAATGATCATGTTGCCTTGGTTCATTTTATCCGCTAGCTCATTGATCCTCAACCACCGGTCTGTGGGTTAATTGGTACCGGGCTGCACAATAAATCAATAATTATTTCCGTTTTATTTATTTTCTGAGTCTAAACAATCTTTTATTTTAAAAGTCTTTTATTTTGAAAAATGACCCTATTCTCACGGTCACTTGAGCACCCAAATTGAGCCCACAAGCAGCAAAATGTGTAAGAAACAGTCAGTGGAAAGTTTCTTTGCTAAGGGAAAAAGGCCCAGTGAAGGACCCGTAAACTGCCAAGGAATGGATCCACAACCCATTTGTCAACAAATCCAGCATGTCTCTGCAAGAAGGTCAACTGATGGAGGTCGCAAATGATGGCAACCTTAAGGCACCATTCGCATATCGCATATTTCTGGAGTTTGCACAAGTTTGTTGTTTCCAATGCGTGACTCGCTCGCGCCAATAAACCCCGGGCCGCGAGCGCACCGCAAGTGACGTGACAAGAATTGACCGATCAGCTTCAGCTTGTATGGAATATTCACATTTCAGTAAGACTTATTTTCTCGGACCATCACAGAACACACAAACACTGCAGTGCTTTGTACATTTCTCCATTCATAAAACTTGTATCAGAGTTACAGCAGTGTTTTGTCAGCTTGTCATCTTCCGGAAAAAAGGTTGATGGTCGCCTAGCAACCTACTAAACGATGAAACACCCTCCCCCCGTCCGTGGTAAAATTGTCAAGCAGTGACCGGTCTGTGGTGATAAAAAGGTTGAAGATCACTGCCCTAGCTGACCAAAAATGGACAAATTTGTAAACCCGTCCTCCACAAAAAAGACAGTCTCACTGATTCACCTCGCAGCATTCCGCACAGTGCTTACACTAATTAATAGAGCACAACAAATAACATGCAATTATTAAATTGTAATAGCCTATATTTTTCTCCTTATACACCTGTGTGAATACTGATATTTTTGTTATTGAATTTCAAATAGGGCCAGTTGAAAGACCAAAGGCTTACGTTATTCAGTGACAAATGGCCTACTGATGTTTAGCTTATATATTTCACAATAGGCTATTATTTGTGCATAAACTCATCTAGATATAGTAGTAAACATACTGTTTGTTTGAAAACAACATTTTCTGTCATCATTACTGCAAATCATATAAGCGATAATATCATTAAATGTGGAGGATGGCGTTACAATATTTTCTGTCTCAGGGTGTCTCAGGCACAAAAAAAAGGTTGAGAACCACTGCTTTAGACAAACTATACTTTTCTGCGGCTGGAAAACAAAATTTTAATGCATTGCAAATGGCAACGGAGCATCACCAGTCACTTTAGGAGGCGGCGTGAAATAATTTAGCTAAACTGCAACATGCTCATTTTCTTTAAATATTACCAACAATCCTACTTTTTGCGGTTGGGTCTGTTTTAGTTTGGATCATGTTTTCACCGCAAATGAACCGCTCTAGGGTTAATTTGAAAGCGTACCAAGATCACCTTTTTAAGTAGGTCTTGGTACTATTTTTTTCGTCCGCTTTTTTGTCTGCCTACATTCACACCTGCCAAAACGATCCGCACCAAAAGGGTAACCAACCTCTAGTGCGATTCAACCAAACTAAATAAAGCAGGGGTGAAAACACCCTAGGGCTTTGAAATGAACAACATGAACTGTAATTGGTGCTAAACCTGTTGCACACAAACTTCTACATGAGTTCTGTTAAATCGGTACAACCAACATTTTATCCATTAAAAAAGTTTGATAAAAGCGAAATTTTTAAACTATTTACCAATTCGTAATTATCTTTCTTACAATAACATTTGTTTATATCAAATCAAATTACTTTCATTGTCACATCATTAGCAGCACGTGTACTGTAATGAGTGTAAAGCTTAACTCCAGACAGTGCAAATTACAACGACACTCTAAAACAAAACAATACACTATTAGCGACGTTGACCAAAAATATGTGAGAGACAATAAATATTACACATTACGCTTATGTAGGCACAGATAGACAAGTACAAAGTCAAAAAGGTGTACACAGTCTGACTGTTGGTGGAAAATTATTGTGGGCAATACTGTTATGGCGGCTTGAGAAAGCCAACATACTGTCATACTACATAAACTTACTATTCTTCTGTCGTCTTCTTCTGAGACTAATTTCTACATGCATCTCCTAATCATTCATACTACCACCACCAAACTAACTCCAAACCTCCAAACTACACTGAATTAGGTTGCTATATCTTTTCCAACTGATCTGAATTACGGTTTTCCGAAAACTGACCCAAGAACAAAGTCCCATTGACTTAACATTGGACCAAGCTTTATGACCTCATAACTTTCCACCAGACTGTCATACAGACTTAAGGTTACGCTCAAATAACTCAGACTACCAATCTGCCAATCACTCATGACCTTTCAACTTACTAGCCACACCCTAGCAACCACTTACAACACCTTAGCAACCGTCCCATAGACTTCAGATGTAAAAACTGCCATTGACTTTACATTGAACAAAATAACAACATACCAATCCATACTAGTAATATATGAATTCATACTAGAAACATAAAACATACTAATTCATACTAACAATAAATCAATCCATACTAGAAACCTACAACATACCAATCCATACTAGAAACGTACAACATACCAATCCATACTAGAAACGTACAACATACCAATCCATACTAGAAACCTACAACATACCAATCCCTACTAGAAACGTACAACATACCAATCCCTACTAGAAACGTACAACATACCAATCCATACTAGAAACGTACAACATACCAATCCATACTAGAAACCTACAACATACCAATCCATACTAGAAACCTACAACATACCAATCCCTACTAGAAACGTACAACATACCAATCCATACTAGAAACGTACAACATACCAATCCATACTAGAAACGTACAACATACCAATCCATACTAGAAACGTACAACATACCAATCCATACTAGAAACCTACAACATACCAATCCATACTAGAAACCTACAACATACCAATCCATACTAGAAACGTACAACATACCAATCCATACTAGAAACGTACAACATACCAATCCATACTAGAAACCTACAACATACCAATCCATACTAGAAACCTACAACATACCAATCCATACTAGAAACCTACAACATACCAATCCATACTAGAAACCTACAACATACCAATCCATACTAGAAACGTACAACATACCAATCCATACTAGAAACCTACAACATACCAATCCATACTAGAAACCTACAACATACCAATCCATACTAGAAACGTACAACATACCAATCCATACTAGAAACATACTAATCTATACTAGAAACATCCTAAGCTATATGTGGTCATCTCTCTATGCCAAATGTTTTAAACTTCTAAACTACTTCAGTTATTTAATCGTTTAAACTACTTCAAACTTTCAGACGAGGCTTTCTCAAGCCACCATAAAGTTTGTCTACGAACTTTACTTTTCTAGTTTTGAGTAAGGATTCAGTTGAGGTGCAGTGCATGCTACATCTTGATAGTATGCAGGGAGGGGTATGGAAAGAGTTTGTGTGAGGTATATTAAAAATGTTTGAATTTTAATGGGGCACTTAAAATATTTTCCACTGGCCCTCAGCATTCCTATAAGTCTGAATTTCATTCAGAATGGTGTTAAAAAGGTCTTAAAGTCTTATATTTGACTTTGAAATCTGCAGAAATCCTGATTTATAAAAACTTTTATTTAAATATATGAAATGTAGTCTGTTTGAGAAGCTTTCCCATCATCATATTGCATTGTTTGTTATAAAACTACAGAGCTTTGATCATAAAAAAGAACGGTTTACTAAGACTTGCTATTTGAGATGGTGTGATATTTATATGCATTTATTTAAGCAGTCTAATGTACTGTTATAATCATGTTATTGACTTTTATTACAGGGTATCATCTTTCATTTAATCTTATTGTTAATTTAGGTATACCAAATTGTCTTTTTCTATCTCATTTTCCCACAATATTCTTACTATGTCAAACTATGGGAGCCATAAAATATCAAAAATACTTGCAAACTTCTAACCAAATCAATCTAATGTTGTTCCTTTTCATAATGAACTTGAGCTTGACTAAAATTGTGAGGAGTAAAAAATTAAGCATACATTTTTTCCTTTTGCAGGACGTCCATCTAATATGTACTTCCAGACTCATGATCAGGTGGGCATGATCGGGACGGGCCCAAATCCGATGGGCTCTTTGAACATCCCCATCCCATTCAATCTGGTCATGCCGCCGATGCCTCCGCCTGGGTATCTGGGACAGGTGAACGGACCTGCTGCAGGTGAGAGAAAACCACGAAACACCAAATTACAGCCGTCTACAGAGCAAATACACATCATAATAGTGTAGAACAGGCCTTTACAACAGACTGGAAAAATGCTGTGGATGAAGCAGAACAATTCAGCAGCAGATTCAAAACAATAATTTATCTCTATCTTGGTTTTTACTCTTTAACCAAAGCTACAACCTTTTTTTCTGTGCTTGAAAACAAGACTTTAAAGGCCACAACATTTATTTTTCTCATGCATTAGTTAGTTTGGAGTTTTAGACTGGTGGAAATAAACATAAAAAATGTAGTTTTGTGATTTTTTTTTATTTATTTTTATTTATTTTTATTTTTTTATTAAATTACATTTAAGAGAGTAAATGACAGTTTTTCAGTGTTGGGCTTGGTGCAGACATGTCATCTATTCTTTCTAAGAATACTATATCGTGCTATAACATACTATACCTGACAAAAGTCTTGTCATCGATCCCAGCTGTAAGAGCAACAAATAATATTTTCACTTCTAGTTGATCATTTGGAAAAGTGGCAGAAGGTGGATTTTTTTCCCCATGAATCATCTGTTGATCTGCATGCCAATCATCACAAATACTGCAGAAAGCCTACATGGACCCAAGATTCTCACAGAAATCGGTCAAGTTTGGTGAAGGAAAAATCATGGTTTGGGGTAACAGTCAGTATGGAGAGATCTGCAGTGTGGATGATCAACATCAACAGCCTGAGGTATCAAGACATTTGTGCTGCCCATTACATTACAAACCACAGGAGAGGAACAATTCTCCAGCAGGATAGCGCTCCTTCTCATACTTCAGCCTCCACAGCAAAGCTCCTGAAAGCAAAGAAGGTCAAGCTGCTCCAGGATTGGCCAGCCCAGTCACCAGAGATGAACATTATTGAGCATGTCTGAGGTAACATGAAGGAGAAGACATTAAAGATGAACACAAAGACTCTTGATGAACTCTGGGAGTCCTGCAGGAACGCTTTCTCTGCCATTTCAGATGACTTTATTAATCAGTGATTTGAGTCATGTCAGAGATGTATGGATGCAGTCCTCCAAGCTCATGATGGAGTCAGACGCAATATTCATTCTGTCTCCACTGCAGCAGGACTTTATCTTCTATACTGGACATTATTTCTGTTCAGTGATGAGAGTTTAGTCTAAGCAGAGTCAGACCTTACTGTCCTGATGAAATCAGTCAAAATCAAGACATGATCATATGTTATTGTGCTCAAATAAGCAAAATCTAGAGGCCTTTCATAGAAGACACTTCTGATACCAAATGATCAACTAGAAGTCAAGTTATTATTTGTTGTTCCTAAAACTTGGATAGATGACAAGACTTTTCCAAGGTAGTATACTAACCTATAGACCTTTTTCTTAGAACGTAAAATTACCCATTATGCTTTGCGTGTATGGGCAAGGAGAATGCTATGAACTTCCAGTCGGCAACTGATGCGTGTGAACAGTCACATTTGGACTAGGGTTGTAACAATATACCGGTATGACGGTCTACCACGATTTGAACGTGCACGATTATCATACCATGAACAATTGCATATCAACGGTTTTAACCCTTAAAGACCGAGACAGTTGCCCGCGGCTAAAAATAAGTATTGCTCTTAAATGTTTAATAACTTTTGATCCGCTGATCCGATTCATACAATTCAAAGATTGGCATAAAGAAGAGAATCTCAGCTTTCCAGTGCTGTATCACATAACATTCGCGGACTTTCAGAGGCTCCGGAATCAGTGCGGTTACGTCATCAAAATTTTACAACGCTGATTTGACAAAGAAACGCTCGTCACTGTGTCTCCGGACAAACCAGACATGATACATTGATGCATTGTCTCTCCTCCATGCCCAGATTGGTTCAAACTCGCTATATCACAACCAATAAGCATAGGTTTCGCTTTTGTTTGTGGACCAACAATGAGCTTTTTGAACAACACGGAATGAGAGATAGGCATACATTTATGCGCGGCTAAATAAAACGCAAAAAAAAAAGTTTTGCATGAAATAATTCTCATACTAAGAACTTTTGCATGCACAGCAGCACAGAAACATGACAAAACAGTGACACAGCAAAGACGAACTGCTGCTCTTGCTGTTTTCAAAAGACGCAAATGAAGGTGCAGCTGTTTGTCTGCATTGCAGACAACCATATCCAAATCCATATCCACAGACAACCATATCCATGCTGGCACATAAAACCTAAGGATGTTCCATATTGAATCTAGTTTCATTATGTAACTATTTATAGAGGAGGATTTGCTGAGGATTTGCACCATGTTTATTTGGACTTTGATACATTATTTATTATTTTCTTATTTTTTTATTTGTTCATTGTAAGTGGTGTTGTTTATAGTAACTGAAAATATATTATTTGGAAAAAGTCAAATTTGCTTCACTGTTCTATTACTTTGTAACATTTGTAACATACCGTATACCGCGAAACCGTCAAACCGTGGTATTGTTTTAGACTATTATCATACCGTAAAAAATTCATACCGTTACAACCCTAATTTGGACAGCTTTGAAATAGTTTTAATCTATTTTACCTGCTTTTATTATCTTTGAACTAATCCTGTTGTCCATCAGCACCATCTCCTGGACTGATCATTTAAAGAAATGCAATCTAATAGGATGGAAAACAGCTGCTGTGAGGCATTTTTTCTCTCGTTGTCAGGCGGCATCTTTTGCAGTTTAAATGAAGCCTCGTCATCTCCAAAGTCAACATTTTCTCTTTCTTTCAAATAAAAAACCAACCCAAACAAATGTCATTCACCTTAATGTTTGACACACACATAGCCTGTACTGTGCCACTGAAACACTGATTTAATAACTGTGACTAAGTGAAAATAAAGTGAAATGACAGAAAAACACAAACCGTGGTGAATACAACACAGAAAATGAAACATAAACAGCTCCTGATTAGTATGAACAGCAAATCAGCCAGCAGAGTGTTATTAACAGACTTTTATTGATCATTTTTGTAAATTGCATGACTTGCATAATGTTACCTGTTAAGTTTCATGCCAGTAATCTGGTTTGCTCTATAATGCAGTGAAGTATTGCGTCCGTGCGTGCTTCTGTATTTCTGACGGCAGACATGTGAACTAGGAGAACGTTTTTCTCTAGCGTGTGAACCACATCTGACAGAAAAATGGCTTTAATACACACTTTTCAAAGTTGTGTGTCACAAAAACACTCTGTAATCCACACAAAACGCTTTAGAAACCCATTTTCAGAGTGCAGATTACCAGTTGTGATCGATGTAAACGGAAGTTCTTAGCATTCTGCTGGAAGACGCTGGTCGCTTGGCACCATCCATGCAGCAGCCAAGAAAAGGGTCTATACAATAACCTTTACCACAGGTGTCAAACTCAGTTCCAAAAGTGCCGCAGCTCTGCACAGTTTAGTTCCAACCCTAATTAAACACACCTGATCAAACTAATTGAGTCCTTCAGGCTTGTTTGAAGTGTGTTGGAGCAGGGTTGGAACTAAACTGTGCAGGGCTTCGGCCCTCCTACTATACTGTACATTAACAAATATGACTTGATAACATTTGATGAAGTAGGTCTGTACATGTAAATATGTCATTTGCCACAC